GGAGGAGGAGGAGGAGGAGGAGAGGGAGGAGGAGGAGGAGGAGGAGGAGGAGGAGAGGAGAACGAGGACGAGGCCAAAGGAGGAGGAGGATGAGGGAGGAGGAGGAGGAGGACGAGAAAGAGGAGGAGGAGGACGAGAAAGTGAGGATGGAGGCAGGAAGAGGAGGAGGAGGGAGGAGGAGGAGGAGGAGGAGAGAGGAGGAGGCAGAGAGGAGGAGGAGGAGAAGAGGAAGGAGGAGGAGGAGGAGGAGGAGGAGCAGGAACGAGGACGAGGCCAAGGGAGAATGAGGGACAGGAGGAGGAGGAGGAGGAGGAGGGGGAGGGAGGAGGCAGGAGGCAGGAGGCAGGAGGCAGGGAGGAGGAAGAGGAAGAGGAGGAGGAGGAGGAGGAGGAGGAGGAGGAGGAGCTGGAGGAGGAGGAGTCAGGAGGAGGAGGAGGAGGAGGTGGAGGAGGATGAGGAGACGTAATAAGCTCTTCACACCAAGGTTCCCAAGCGCGAAGGTGATGTAAAAAGCTCGTCACACCAAGGCTCCCAAGAGCGAGCGGCAACGTAAACATCTCTGAACACCAGCGCACCCATCAGAGAGCGGTGACGGAACAGGCTCTTCCCACCAAGGCTCCCGAGAGCGAACGGTGACGTGACAAATTCGTGCACACCAAGGTTCCCAAGAGCGAACGGTGACGTAAACAACTCTCAACACCAAGGTTCACAAGAGCGAGCGGCAACGTACAAGTCTCGGAACACCAAGGCTCCCAAGAGCGAGCGGTGACGTAACAAACTCTTACCACCAAGGCTCCCAAGAGCGAATGGTGCCATAAGCCCTCTCGGACCAGTTCCTCAGACGCTCTTTCCGTTTCCGTGTCGGTCCCAGGTCTAGTGGTTTTCGGCCCATCCGACCACCATGTTTGGATTGGTTCAGAGGCTTCTTGGATGTTCGTTGGGATCTCGTGAGAAGACTCTCGGGGGCCTGCTCGAGGCAGTTTGGACTCCCCTGAGGGGCTGTTTTGGAGCCTTTTTTGAGCCTCTTGGGGGTCTCTTGGGGGCCTCTTGGTTCCCCTTGAGGCCTCTTGGGGAATCCCGAGGGCCTCCTGGGGCGGAAAGCTGGAATTTTCGGGTTGTGGTCCCCTTCTCGGCCCCTCTTGGGGCCCTCTTGGAGCCCTCTTGGGCTGTCCTGAGGCCCTCTTGGACCATCTTAGGGTCCTCTTGGGCCGTCTTGGGGCCTTCTTGAGGGCCTCTTGGGCCGTCTTGGGGCGGTCTTGGGGGCCTCTTGGGCCGTCTTCGAGCGTCAAGCCCCAAACCTTGAAAAACATATGCAAATCAGCGATGTGGGCCTCTTCGGGACCTCTTGGGAGGTCTCTTCGAAGCCTCCTGGGGCGTCTTGGAGGCATCTTGGGCCGTCTGGAGGCCGTCTTGGATGTCTTGGGACGATGTTTGGGCGACTCTGGGCCCTCTTGGACCGTCTTGGAGGTCTCTCGGGGCCCTGGTGGCCCGTTTTGAGGCCCTCGATGGCCCCCCGGCAGAATTTCTGGAGCAAAGTACCGCCACCGCCAGCCCGGCCGGCCCCGGCCGGCCTGGGTAGACCCCCTCTCCCCCCTCCAAATCGACCTGACCGGGCTCCCCGGGGAGAGGTTTGGGGAGGGGGAAGCATCTCACACGCCGATGAAGCCCAAGGGGTCGACGGATTTCGGGAAGGCTCGACTCTTCAGTCTTCCAGGCGTCCGAAACCGACAGGAGGCCAAGAGAGCTTCCAGGCAGTCCAAGAGAACCCCCAGACGGCCTAACAGGGCCCCAAGATGGCCCGAAGAGGTCCCCATCCGTAGCCATTTTGGCTCAAGTCGTTTTGGCACAAGCTTGTTGCCCAAGACATTCCGGCGAAGGTATTGTGCACTTGATAAAATCGTGCGCCGTGCAATGGCTTTGATCAATCGCGTCGCTGTCTTCATGGCCCTCGTTTCGACGGCCGCAGCCGATTATCCTTGCGGTGACTTGCTGCTCCAGGCAAGTGCTGTATGCGGTGCGTCTCAGTCCGACTGCACTCAGGATGTGTGTTGCATGGATGGAACGGCGGCGCCGACGGCCGCGCCGACGCCGGCGCCCCCGACGGCCGCACCGACGCCGATGCCTCCGACTTCCGCGCCGACGGCCGCGCCGACGGCCGCGCCGACGGCCGCGCCGACGGCGGCGCCCTCGGCCGCGCCGACGCCGGTGCCTCCGACGGCCGCGCCGACGGCCGCGCCGACGGCGGCGCCGACGGCGGCGCCGACGGCCGCGCCGACGGCCGCGCCGACGCCGATGCCCCCGACCTACGCGCCGACGGCCGCGCCGACGGCTGCGCCGACGGCCGCGCCCACGGCGGCGCCCACGGCCGCGCCGACGCCGATGCCCCCGACCTACGCGCCGACGGCCGCGCCGACTGCTGCGCCGACGGCCGCGCCCACGGCGGCGCCCACGGCCGCGCCGACGCCGATGCCTCCGACCTACGCGCCGACGCCAGTGCCTCCGACTTACGCGCCGACGCCGATGCCGACGGCCGCGCCGACGCTGGCGCCTCCGACCTACGCGCCGACGCCGATGCCTCCGACCTACGCACCGACCCCGGCGCCAACCAACGGCTTCACGTGCGGGGACTACGTCGTTATTGACGTCAGTTTCGCGAATCGCGACGTCGTGTCCGTCATCTCGGCCATGGTGTGCGTCCTTGCTGCAGCGTGGGCCTGAGCGCGGCCGGCGCAGGAGGTAGGACGAGGCACCTCAAAGGGGGTCCTTGCTGGCCAGCCCGCACTCGTGCTCGCTCATTGGTTCCCCCGGAGGGTCTACACAGGGCCCCAAGATATATTGATACATATATAGAGAGAGAGGAAGTGGAGGAGGAGGAGCATGGGGATAGGGATGTCTAAACGATGCTCAGTGTGCCTCATCTTGTCCCTCCTCGAGCCGACGGTCGGGGAGCGCGTTGTCGGCGCGCACCCCGCGGGCTCGGAGGCTCAAGGCTTTGGGGTGCAGGTCGGACTCCTCTCTAATCTCCGACACCGTCCAGCTTCCCGTACTTACGGGAATTCGCTATTTCGTTTTGATGGATCGTGCCTGATGTTTCCAACCGGCACGACCTCCACTCAAAGTTGAATTCGGCCCTCGCAGCTGGGGGTCAGAAGCTCGGCGCTCCTCCTCTCCCTGCCTCTCCCTCCGACTCCTGCCTCCTCCCTCCCTCCCCACCCGTTTCTCCTTACGTTTTTCGCTGGCGCCAGAAGAGGCGCCCCCTGTCGAATGGGCGCGCGTGGAATGATGGGGGCATGTCCTCATTGCGTTCCATCCTCCGCCAGCTCGGCGGCGGCGGCGGCGAGAAAACACAAAAAAAAAAAAAAGATGGCCCGAAGAGGTCCCCACGATGGCCCAAGATGGCCCCAAGACATCCCCCGAAGTATTCCAAATCGTGGCACGGTCCTTCAGGGAGACCATATTCGGAAGCAGGGTGGCGCGAGGACACTCAGAAGGAGCCCACGAGGCCTCCAGAAGGACCCACGAAGCCCTTAAAGACTTTCGGAAGGCCCCCGAGAGGCTCTCCAAGGAGGAGCCTCCGCAAAACGATGTGGGGATTGGGACGAATTCGCAGGGTAGGGCGAAAATGAGGAAAAGGAAGAGGAAACGTGAGGGTCAGATAACGAATAATATCAGTATAACGGCGATACCGGAGAACACAAGCAAGGAATTAGTGATCAATGTTCCGTCTTGTCGTCCTGCCCTTCCGCTTGTTTGCCAAACAAAGATCAATAATCGATGTACATGGCGCGGTGCGCCAACGCAGTCTTGTGTAAACACATACATACATGCATGCATACATGCATACATGCGTTCGTCCCTATCTACCTACCTACCGACATACCTACATACAAGCACACACATACATACATACATACATACATACATACATACATACGTACATACATACATACACACACACATACATACATACATACATACATACATACATACAAACACATATACATACATACGTTCATACATACATACATACATACATACATACATACATGCATGCATGCATGCATGCATGCATGCATGTATGCATACATACATACATACATACAAGCACGTTCAAGTGCGTACATGCACATACATGCATCTACACATACACACATATACACAGACAAGCATGCATGTTTACATACATACATACATACATAGGTACGTACACGTATACCCACATATATACACATACATACACACATACACACATACATACACACATACATAAACACATGCCTATATACATATACGCATGTGTACATACAATAATACACACATCGATCGGTACGTGCATGCATACATACATACATACATGCGGGCATACCTGTAGACAGACATACAGACACACATACACATACATACGCGCATGCATACACGTATACAAATCACCGTATTTATACACACCAACATATACACTTACATACGCACATATCTATACATATACATAGACACATACATATGCACATCTACATATATATATATATACATATGCATACAGCATACATGCATATTTTCCTTAGCTTGCGGGATAATCCATCTATGTTTGGCGTGAGCGCCGTGGTTTGCACAGTCATCAGATGAATTGAAACTCTGTTGATTATGTGTCCGTAGTCAGTCTTTTTTGCTCAAGCTGTTTTCTTGTCGGTCTATGGGCCTCCCAAAATCTTTCCATGTGGCTGTCGCTACGTTGTTGGGGTTCATGTTGGGATCAGAGAAGCAGACCTGGCTGCAATCGATGCAGCCCGTTCATGTGGATGTGGAGGTTAATAGCACTGGTGTTTGTAACTGCACGTGTGACTCCCTCTCGCGTCTCTCGGGAAACGGATCTGTCAATCAGACGTACATCGAGAACCATTTCCACAGCCGTCTCCCATCCGAGCCCTTCTCGTGGATCAACCTCTTCTGCGTTCTACAGAGCGCCTGCTGTACCTCGGTGGCCGTCTGTGCTTGGTGCTGCGATGGCGTACGTCGGAGGACTGCCGCCTCTGATGGGGCCGCCCGCGGCGCCCCCGCCAGGACAGGGGCCAGCTCCTCCTGCGGTGCCCCAGTTGCAGATGCGCCTGGACGGGTGGCCACAGCCGACAAGTGCGGGGTTGTGCAGTTGGCGACGCCTGCTGGTCGAGTTCGAGGGGGAGGCGTTCTTACACGAACGTTTGGTGATTAAGGCATACCCCAACGGCGGCTCAGCCTGGATTGCGACGCCTGATCAGGACGAGTATGAGGAGGACTACCGCAACGATCCCGACATCGTGGGGGTCACCTTCCTGGATGATGCGGGTCGCCCGCCAGCGCCGCCCCACCTGCCGGTGTACGCCTTTCGGGCTGCCCCGACTCAGGCGGTCCTGCAGGCAGCTCTCGGCAACGCAGAGGTGCAAACTCAGCTGTTGGGCTGGGGCCAGGCTGTCGCGGCGCCGCAGGTCCAGGCGGGTGCGATCGGTGTCCCAGGCGCGGGGAAGTGGCTCCTGGCGGAGCCGTGCGGCAACATGAAGATCGGGGATGAGGCGCCTGTTGCCCCCACGGGCCCGTTCGCGAGCGTGAAGGCGGTGTCGACCTGCACGCTGCCGTCGGGCAACACCGTGGCCGTTTTCGTGGAGTGGGTGCCGACGCAGAAGGTTTGGCAGCTTCAGGGATGACAAGATCGATCTCTACGCGTCGGAGGTGAGTGATTGTCGCATTATGAAGCCCCGTTTCGAGCATGGCGTTCGCAGTCGTACCTTCAACGACGGAGTGTTAGAGTTGTTCGAGGAGCCTGACCTCGATGGCTTCCCGAAGGGTCCTCGCATCACGTTGGGCACCGCACAGACTTTGAGGTCTCAGGGGCTGACCTGGCAGACCCAGGCTCGTGAGTGGCCCGTCGCGGCTCGCATTCCTCCTGGGGACAGGTCGGTGCACGAGTACAAGCTGATCTGTGAGGTTCTGAATGCGTTGCAGTGCGTCGATCAGTGTAACCTGCCGAACCTGGTAGGGGCCGAGCTCTTGGTGAGGCGCAAGAGCGTGCTGGAGGAGGCGCGCGCCTCGTCTCCCAGCAACCCGGACTACAGCGCAGCCGACATCATGATGGGCTGGGCTGAGACGAGGGGCACGGGGAGCACTCCTGAGTCACTCATGAGCTACACCGCTGACAGGCTGAAGGATAAGGCAGCGATCTTGAAGGAGAAGAGGAAGGCAGTCGATGAGTCCAGGCTCGGGGGCAAAGGTCAGCCCTCGAAGGACAAGGACAAGGGCGCCAAGAACTAGGGGGTCGAGCTCGACCCCTTGGGCACCCCAGCGGGTGCTTTCGTCGCACGTCGATCTCTGACGATGTCCGACAACCGTGCTGCTCCTCGTGAGCTTCTACCTCTTCCTATACCGCCTTCATGGTCTTCGCCGTCCTGGCCGAGGCACCGCTGCAGGAGGCTGCAGCAGCGCTTCGACCGCAGGAAGGCAGTTCTGAGTCGCGCCGTCGACTCCGTCAAGGCGCTTAATTGGTTGCATGGTGGGCGCCAGCCTCCAAGTTTTTCGAGCCCGACCCTGTCGCAGGCTACGGCTCTTCAGCACCTTCTGGACGCGCATCGGACCGACGTCCCGGAGATCGTTAATGCCGAGGCAGCCCGCGTGGAGTTGCTCGGCGCAGGTCAGGATTACGCTGGTGGCCCTGAACTTCCCATCGCGAGTTACGACAAGGATCTGCTCTCCATGCCCCAGCTTGGGGCGGAGCCCGTCGACCTGTCCACGGTGCTGGAGGGCAGGGCCAGAGAATGTCTCGTCAACTTCGAAGAGGAGATCTTGCACGGTCCCGACGATTGGGGCCATATTACTGAGTGTGAGGAGCATGTTAGACCGTATATGGATCCAGTGCTTAAGTCCGACGCTGACGCTTACTTCGATTTCGTGATGAGGGGTCACAGGTCGGGTTTGTTTCGCTTCGGCCGCACGTTCCATGTCATCGTCACCCCCTTCTTTGTGAGGAAGAAGGCTGGCACTTTGAGATTGATACTTGACTGCCGTCCGAGTAATCGCAGGATGCGTGAGAGCCCCTACGTTCGGCTGGGAGGGCCGGCGGACGTTGCTCGGCTACTGCACTCGCGCGGCGACGGGGACCCGTACGTGGCCCTCGGCGACGTAAAGGATCATTTTCATTGCTGCGGGCTTCCACCAGGCCTTAGTCCATATTTTTCCCTGCCGCCCGTGTCAGGTCTGCGACTTCTTCAGGCTGGTATTCACAATGTCGAAGGTCTCCCTGTTCTCCCCGGTGACAGCATCTTTCCACAGTCCAGGGTCGTTCCCATGGGGTGGTCTTGGGCATGTTACTTTGCGCAGTCTGCTACAACGTCCCTGGTGCGTCGTTTCTCGGGCTCCGAGGGTGACAGCTTCCTGGAATCATGTCCTGGTCTCGATCGGCCCGCTTACAACGTCTACATAGACAACATTAGCATCTTCGGCCAAGGTAAGTCACAGACCGATAGGATCGCCAACCAGGTTTTCGACGGGGTCGAGAGTGTGGGCTTGGAAGTCCACGAGCGCACGTCTGCCAGCAAGTGGGCTCTTACGCTCGGCCTTGAGATCGACTTCCTGTATAGCACGGTCCAAGGAAAAAGGCAACAGAGGTGGAAGTTGAAGGCAGTTTTGGATTGGTTGTCAGGTGCTCCGTATGTGTCGGGTAAGGAGATTGAGAGACTCTTGGGCCATACCACCTTCCACTTCGGTCCTAATCGGCTCTTCCTGTCCATCTTTAACAGTGCCTATGACTTTATTCGTTCGAGTTACACCTCGAGTGCGTCTCTGGCCCTCGGTGGCTAGGGAGTGCTGGGCCGCTGGGTGTCTTATCTCGTTCGCGTTCGCTGATCTGGGAAGGGACTTCGACCCGCTCGTGAGCTGTTTCGACGCTAGTACGTGTGGGGCAGGGGTTGTCACGGCGCCTTGGGACTCGGCTCAGGTTCGTTCAGAATGCGAATGGGAGGGGAGATGGCGTTTCAAGTGGGATGTGTACGATCGAGTTGCGCCCAGGGACAACAACTTCTTATCGCTGGACTGGGGGGACATCGAAAGCGTCAAGCCTTGTCGTGACAGGTCGTCGCTCTGGTCGCTGGACAAGTCGTTCAGAGAGGTCCCGAAAGAGAACCTCGTGGGCCCCACGTGGACCAAGGGCGTTCGGAGTGTTTGGAAGGACGAGGAGCCGATATTCTGTCTGGAGGCTCGCGCGGGTCTGCTGGCGGTGCGTCACAAGTTACGGGCGGTCTCCAGTTTCGGTAAGACTCATCTACACCTTGGGGGCTCCATGACCGCCATCCTGGCTTTCGAGAAGGGTCGGGCTAAACATCGAGGTCTTCTGGGTGCTTGCCGTCGCCTTTTGGCTCTGAGTGTGGCCTCCAACACCAGGCACCATTTCAGGTGGGTGCCGTCGGAGCTGAACCCGAGTGATCCTGATTCACGCTACTTCGAGCTTCCAGTTGACAGTGATGGCCGACGGTTGCTTCGTCGCTCCACGTCTCGGGCCTGGACGGTACAGGCTGATGGCAAGGGGAGCTGGCGGGCCGTCGATCCAGGCGACAGTGCCTTCGCCGACGGCGGGCGTGGTCATCATGAGCCGCCTGGTGCCTTCGGCGGGCCCGACTGCCTTGACTGGGCCGCGCCCTCGGCGCCGCCCAGTGGCTGGCGCGCCGCTCCCTCGACCTCGCCGAGAGGCGGACCCGCTGGACACGGTGCTGGCCGAGAAGACACGTCGGTCGGCTCGACGCCCGGTGCTCAAGCGTCAGAGGGCGTTGAAGCGGGTTCGTGCCATAGGGGGCGTGGTTCCAGCCCTGAGGGCTCTGAAGGGCGAGCGCTCAGTGCTGGAGAGCTCTCACCCGTCGACTCCCGTCAGGAGGGACTACTGTCGGCGGCTCGACAAGTTCTGGGAGTTCGGGCGAAGCCAAGGTCTCTCCTTGGCCAACCTGAAAGTTTGCGACGACGCGCTGTGCGACTTTGCCGACCTGCAGTTCCTGGACGGCGAACAGGTCGACGCGGGGGCCAAGCTCCTGGCCGCCTTGGAGGACCACGACGTGCAGCGGCTCGGCAAGCCCAGCCTTCCTCGGTTTCGACGAGTTCTTCGAGCTTGGCATCGGAAGGGGCCTGTGGGCAGCAGGGACCCTCTACCGTTCCGCCTCTTGGCGGGCGTCTTGGGTGTCCTGTCGCTCCACGGCTTCCACGAGGAGGTGCTGGCGCTGGCCCTCATGTTCTGCTGCTACCTGCGCCCGTCCGAGCTCCTGACGGTGGTCGAAGGCGACCTCCTGGAGCCGGTGGCCAACGCGGGCGTGGCCCTCGCGTGCTGGAGTCTGCTCCTGCGGCCGTTCGAGAGGGAGGAGCCGACCAAGGTCGGCCAGTTCGACGACACGCTCCCGCTCGACAGCCCCGACTTCCCCGGCTTAGGGGCCCTCCTTGCTGGCTTGCGCGGGGGGGATGCGGAGGTCTGGCTCTTCAGTTTCAGCCAGACGCAGCTGCTGCGCCGCTTTCAGGCGGCTTGTCGCGCGGCGGGCCTGGGCTCGCTGAACCTCGAAATGCACCAGCTGCGCCACGGGGGAGCGTCGAGGGATTTCCTGATGAAGACGAGGGAGATTCAGGCGGTCAAGCAGCGAGGACGCTGGGCGAACGATCGCACCTTGCTCCGCTACATGAAGGCGGGCAGGGTGCAGAGGCTTCACAAGGCTCTGACGCCCGAGGCCAGCCGCTGGTGCCAGGAGGCGGGGGCCAACCTCTCGCTCGTCCTTCGCGGCGCGTGGCAGCCGTCCCTTCGGCCGCCAGGAGCCTGCCGCGGTCTCTCGGCGGCGGGTTTGTGATCGAGGTCTTCTCGGGCAGCGGGCGGCTGGCCAAATCCATCGCGGAGCTTGGCGTCCCAGCGCTGACCTGGGACATCGAGCACGGCCCCCGCTGGCGACCTGCTGGACAACGACGTGCTGCGCTGTGTGCTGTCGCACATTGCCTCGGGTAGGTGTCTTTTCCTCTGGGTAGGCACGCCGTGCACTTCTTTTTCTCGGGCCCGAAAAAACTACGGTCGCGGCCCTGGGCCTCTTCGGGATCCCTGGCACCTGGAGGGCCAACCTGGGCTTTCTCCCGCCGACCTCGCTAAGGTCGAAAATGGGAACCGTCTCTTAGGGGTCTCACTGGTGCTAATGCGATGTGCAGCAGCTCACGGCGTCCCAGCTGTGTTGGAAAACCATATCACGAGTTTTTTTTTATGGGACATGCCTCAAATGCTAGATTTTCGATTATCTCATGACACTACATTCACGGTGCTTCACTTCTGTCAGTCTGGGGAGCGTTGGGTTAAGCCCACTCGTCTGCTCCTCCTGTCTTGCTCTCACCTTTTCGGCCGTGGGAAAAACGTGCACTGGCCGCGGTGTGTGTTCCAGGACTGGAAAGCCCCACGTCGAGCTTCGGGGCAAAGACCCGACAGGAACCTTCTGGACCCTCCGCGCTCAGCCTTATCCTCGCCAGCTTACTCGGGCCATTGCTTCACTGATGATATCTCACCTCATCAGTGCCGGAGGCTCTGCCTTTTAAGCCTTCGGTCAGAACGCTACTCTGGTGCGGGTGTGGGTGCTCTTTTGTGGCTCTTGGTGGTTGGTTGCCCCTCCGTTGCCCTTGCCTGGTGGACGTTGGCGGGACGACTTCGGGTCCCCGTCCACGCTCGCTGGGCCAGGGTAGCGGTTGGGCCACCAGCCTCCTGCCACTGCAAGATCTGTGCCTCTGGCGGCGATTTGATTTACAGTCTTCGAGCCTCGGTGAGATGCTCTCTCTGGCGCGTGAGCAGAACGTGAATATGGATGTTCCTTAGCTTGCGGGATAATCCATCTATGTTTGGCGTGAGCGCCGTGGTTTGCACAGTCATCAGATGAATTGAAACTCTGTTGATTCTGTGTCCGTAGTCCGTCTTTTTTGCTCCCCACCTTCTTGCCACCCTTCTTGTGGGTGCTCTTTTGCGGCTCTTGGTGGTTGGTTGCCCCTCCGTTGCCCTTGCCTGGTGGACGTTGGCGGGACGACTTCGGGTCCCCGTCCACGCTCGCTGGGCCAGGGTGGCGGCTGGGCCACCAGCCTCCTGCCACTGCAAGATCTGTGCCTCTGGCGGTGATTTGATTTACAGTCTTCGAGCCTCGGTGAGATGCTCTCTCTGGCGCGTGAGCAGAACGTGAATATGGATATACATATGCATATATACATGCATACTTCCATACACGCATACCTATGTACGCACACCTATATACATACATACATACATACATCCATACATACATACATACATACATACATACATACACACATACACACATACATACATACATACATACATACATACATACATGCATCCACTGTTACATACATATTCATGGCAGATGCATACACGGTTGCATCAGAGTGAGGGGGGCGAAGGTTCATTCATTGTCTTTGGGTGCGTGGTTGAAGTGGGGATCCGTGGTGAGTGTTCTGCTTGTTGCGTCGTTGTTTTTGTTGTTGGACAAGGCGGGTTTAAGGGTCGCCTCCCCCCCCAGCAACCCAGCAACCTGAGGATTCCCGGGGGGTTCCTGAGGATTTCTCCGGGATGCTTCAGAAGTCCATAAATTCCGATGGATTCCGGAAGATTCCTGGGTCATTCCTCAGGATTCTTCAGGGTCCTCTTCGGGGGCTCTGAGGAAACCTTAGAGTCTCCGATGGATCTTACAAGGTTTTCCGTCATTCGCTTTCCCCTCTAGTTGCCCCCCTTGCGCGGTTGTAGCCGTCTTGGTAAGGACATTATGAAATCATCTTGGAAAATTTGTTGGGACACCTTGGGGCCACATTGGGGCCATCTTGGGGACATCTTGGGGTCATCTGGGGGTCATCCTGGGACCACATTGGGTGATCTTGGGGGCATCTACCAGGCCTCCCAGGCTTCCTACAAGGCCCTTACCAGGCTTCCTACTAGGCCTCCTCCCAGGTCTCTTACAAGCACGGTTGCCCCATCGTCTCGGTCCGCCGTCGTTTGAGGAAAGGATGATGATGAAGATGATGATGCTGATGATGATGATGGTGATGATGATGATGATGATGATGATGTTGATGATGCTGATTATGATGATAATAATGATAATGATGATGATGATGCTGATGTTGTTGATGATGATGATGATGATGACGATGATGATGATGATGATGATGATGATGATGATGTTGGTGGTGGTGGTGATGGAAGTGGTGGTAGCGGTGGTGATGATTGTTATGGTCTCCTCCTGGGCCTCCTCCCAGGTCTCCTACAAAACACGGTCAACCCGTCGCCTCGGTCCGCCGTCGCCTGAGAGAGAGATAAAGATGATGAGGAGGAGGAGAAGGAAGTGGAGACGAGAAGGAATCCACGTCATGGGGCCCTCTTCGGGGCATCCTGGACCATATTGGATTTACCCCCGAACGATCTTGAGGTCATTGCGGGGTTGTCTTAGGGTCATGTTGGGGTCACCGTGGGTTCGCCATGAGGTCAAATCGCTGTCATCGTGGGGGCAGATTGGGATCATCGTTGGGGCATTTGAGGGCCATCTTGGGGACATCCTGGACCACATTGGGTCATCTTGGGGTTATCTTGGGGGCAGTGTGTGGTCATCTTGGGGACATGTTGGGATCACATTGGGGTGATCTCGGGGGCATCTACAATGCTTCCCAGGCTCCCGACAGCTCTTATCAGGACTCATATTAGGCCTCATCCCAGGTTTCCTACAACACACGGTCATCCCGTCGCTTCGGTCCGCCGTCGCTTGGGAAAGGGATACGGAGGAAGAGAAGGAGGAGGAGGATGAGGAGGAAACGGACGTTGAGACGCGGAGTGGTCCTTGTCTTGGGGCTCGATTCGGAACACCATGGTGCCACATTGGAATTGCCCCTGAACGAATTTCAGATTGTGGGGCTGCCGTAGGGTCATCTTGGGGTCACCGTGGGGTCACCTTCAGGTCATATCGATGTCATCGTGCAAGCTGGTACTTGATAATCTGGAAGCCAGCTGATGTTCAGATCCGTTGCAGAGTCGTACGTGTTTTTTCGTGCAAGCGCCGCAGCACCTACCTTCAAACGGAAGCGGGGGCGCCCCCGAACATTTCGGATTGAACCAGTCTTTGCCCACGCGGTCTGGGCCGCGGGAGACGAGGAGGCCTTGCCGCAGTTCTGGCAAGATAGCGTAATGGTTGCCGCAGCGTGACACGCAGCCGTGAAGCTGTATTGCGACGCCCTGCTTCCCAAGCTTGTGCACTTCCTATTCGGCCTCGTGCAAAGCCTCTTCCCAGGCCTCCTACAAGACGCGGTCACCCCGTCGCCTGAGGAAAGGATCAGGATGAAGAGGAGGAGGATGCCGAAGAGGAGGAGGCGGATGAGGAGCAGCAGGAGAAGGGTGGAGAAGGAGGAGGAGGAGGAGGAAGTGAAGACGAGACGGAGTTCACGTTTTTGGGCGTCCTCCCAGGCCTCTTCCCAGGCCTCGTTCCAGGCTTCCTGCTGGCCCACAACGGGACCTCATACGACACCTGTTTCAAGACCTCAAAGCATGCCGTCTACGAAGGCTTCCCCTAAAGGGATCTTATCGCAGCTGGTAGGGTCCGTATACGGATCCTCTCGCAGCTGGCACGATCCCTGTACTGACCCTGTTACAGCTGACACGATCCGTTTGAGTGATCGTATCGCAGCTGGTGGGGCTCTTATATGGGTCCTATCGCAGTTGGCGCGATCCCTATAGGGATCCGATGTCAGCTGGTAGGGTTTCTATAGGGATCTGATTACAGGTGGCAGGATCCATATAGGGATCCGATTTACAATTGGCAGGATCACTATAGGGATCGAACTACAGCTGGTGGGATCCCTATAGGGATCCGAATTCAACCTTTCCTGACATGAACGGGAAGCGCGTGAAAGGACAGTGTTGCGCAAAAACTTGCAGCAGCATCGCGATCACATACAACATAGGCGAGCTCCCCGACCGCTCACAAAGGATACGTATTGGCACGCGCCCCCCGAACGTTCACAGGCATCTTCATGAGTATCCCCCTCACTCCTCCGCATGAGGACGACGACGGCGAAAACGACGACCGTGGGAGGAGGGGAATGAGGAGAAGGAGGAAAAGGAACAGGAGGAGGAGGAGGTGAGGAGGGGACGGGGAGGATGAGGACGAGGAAGAGGAGGAGGAGGAGGAGGAGGACAACGACGACGACGACGAGGCGGAGGAGGAGGAAGGAAAAGGAGGAAAAACGGGAAGAGGAGGAGGAGGAGGAGGAGGAGGAGGAGGAGGTGGAGAAGCACGAACAGGAGGAGGAAGAGGAGGAAACGGAGGAGGAGGAGGAGAAGGAGGAAGAGGAGGAGGAGGAGGAGGAAAGGGAGGAGGAAGATGAGGAGGAGGAGGAGGAGACAATATGGTTTCGAGGGGCTGTTCGAAGGCAGTTTGTAGGAACTGTCTCGAGCGAAACGCGGATTGTTACAACGAGCATGTTAAAAACACGTGGATGCATTAATCGTCTCGTTTCTTGGGCCATCTTGGAGGTCATCCGAGATCGCTCCGAAAAGATGCCTTACAAGAGCTCTGTCGGCATCTCATGTTTTCGAGGATGTCTCTGGCGAAACGCCCATTTTCGAGGGGCCGAAAATTCGGCGAGCGATTTCAAGATCCAGATTTGTTGAGGATGTCCCGAACGAGACGCCCTAGTTTAGCAAACAAAATACGCCTTAAGATTCGACATCCAACTTTTCGATGTTGTGAGGATGTCTCAAGCGAAACGCTCGTCTTGGGAATCCGCCAGGTCCTGCGCGGAGAGGCGGCGCCGCGCGTTCCCCCCCCCAGACCCCCCCCTTTACAAACAATCCCTCTGGGCACACAGACGTCCATTGCGCGACTCTTCGAGTCGAAGCGCGATTCCCGTCATTGGTCGGGTCCCTATAAGGATCCTTTTGCAGTTGGTCGGGCCCCTTCATAGGGATCCCAGTACAGCTGGCAGGATCCCTATAGGGATCCGATCACACCTGGTAGGATCCCTATTGGAATCCGATGACAGCTGGTAGGACATCCGTAGGGATCGTATTGCTGCTGGCAGGGTCCCTATAGGGATCCTATTGCAGCTGATAGGATCTCTATATAAAGGGTCCGATAACAGCTGGTAGGATCCCTGTATCCGATTGCAGCTGGTAGGATCCCTAGAAGGACCTTATTGCAGCTGGTAGGACCCCTGTAGGGATCCGATGACAGCTGGTAGGATCCCTGCAGGGATCCTATTGCAGCTGGTAGGGTCCCTATAACGATCTTACTGCAGTTGGTAGACTTCCTATTGGGATCCTGTGGCAGCTGGTAGGAACCCTGTAGGGATCCTATTGCAACCGGTCGGATCCTTGTAGGGATCCGATTGCAGCTGGTAGGATACTTGTAAGGATCCTGCAGGATCCTTATCGGGTTTTGTATGATCCCTATAGGGTTTCTGTACGATTGCTATCGGTTGTCTGTAGGATCCTTATCCGGATTCGATTGCAGCTGGCAGGATCTCTTCAAGGATCCGCAGCTGGTCGGATCCGTACAGGGATCCTGTGGCAGCTAGTAGGATCCCTGTAGAGATCCTCTTGCAACTGGTAGGATCCTCATAAGGATCCAATTGCAGCTGGTATGTCCCTATAGGGATCCTGTGACAGCTGGTAGGGTCCCTGCGGGGATCCTAATGCAGGTGGTAGGTTACGGATGAAGAACTTATTTTCTGCTGGTAGGATTGCCATAGGCATCTTATGACAGTTGGTAGGATTATTGCAGTGATCGTTTTGCAGCTGGTCGGATCTCTGTAGGGATCCGATTGCAGCTGGTGGGATCCTTGTAGGGCTTCTGTAGGATCCCCATAGGGATTCTGTAGGATCCCTTGAGGATTTCTGTAGGATCCCTATAGGGTTTTTGTCGGATCCCTATAAGGCTTCTGTACGATACCTATGGGGTTTCTGTGTGATCCTTACAGGGTTTCTGTCAGGTCCCTATAGGGCTTCTGTCACTGTAGGGTTTCTGTAGGATCCCTATAGGGTTTCTGTAGGATCCTTATCGGGTTTCCGTAGGATTGCTGATGCGTTTTTGTGGGATCCTCTTTGGATTTCGATCGGACCTTTTATATAGGGTTTCTACAGGAGTCGTACAGGTCGTATAGAATGCCTCGCTGCGCTAGCGCGCACACGTAAATCACCACTCCGATTCAGCACCGGAGTCCTGAGGGACTCCTCCGGTTATGTTTTTTTTTTTTTTTAATCGTTCCCAGCGTTGTTGTTGTTGTCGTCGCCGTTGTTGTTGTTGTTGTTGTTGTTGTTGGTGTTGTTGTTGTTGTTGTTGTTACTGTTGTTGTTGTTGTTGTTGTTGTTGTTGTTGTTGTTGTTGTGTTGTTGTTGTTGTTGTTGTTGTTGTTGTTGGTGGTGTTGTTGTTGTTGTTGTTGTTGTTGTTGTTGTTATTGGTGCTGTTGGTGTTGGTGTTGGTGTTGGTGTTGATGTTGTTGGTGTTGGTGTTGATGTTGTAGTTATTGTTGTTGCTGCTGTTGTTGTTGCTGTTGCTGTTGCTGTTGCTGTTGCTGTTGTTGTTGCTGCTGTTGTTGCTGTTGTTGGTGGTGGTGTTGTTGTTGGGGGGGCATGTAGGGCCACTGCAGGGATGTCTTAGGCTCATATAGGGTCACTACAGGGGTCTCATCGGCTCTTATAGGGCCTCTATACGGATCCCGTAGGAGTCCCCACGGAAGTCTTGGATTAACGCAGGACCGGGGCCTCGCCAGAGAAGGCATCGAAATCTTTAAGGAGAGGATCTCTTTTTTTTGGTTCGGTGAGGGTTGCTGGGTTGCTGGGAGGGGTGCTAGCCACGCGTCCTTTTTCACCCGCCTTGGCTACAGTAGTCAAGACGGGCAAGGCGTACGCAGGGCAGGCGTCCATCATGACCGCCTGGACTTTGTTGTTGTCGTCGTCCCACCCGCGACCCACCCGCGACCCTCCCCGCGACCCACCCCGCGACCCACCCCGCGACCCACCCGCGACCCCATCCGCGACCCCACCCGCGACCCCTTGGCGACCTTCCCCGCGACCCACCCGCGACCCTCCCCGCGACCCACCCCGTGACCCACCCGCGACCCCTTGGCGACCCACCCGCGACCTACCCGCGACCTTCCCCGCGACCCACCCCGCGACCCATCCGCGACCCCACCCGCGACCCCACCCGCGACCCCACCCGCGACCCGCACCCGCGACCCACCCGCGACCCAACAGCGACCCACCCGCGACCCCTTGGCGACCCACACGCGAGCGACCCACACAGGTTTAAGGAAAAAAACGACGCCTGCGGCCGGCTCGTTGTATAATGTGTGAAGTTTCGGCGACTGCAGCGGGCTTCTCCAGACTCTCGCAAACTGCCTACGTCCCTACCGCCCCCATCACTCTTATCCGCATATGCAGGGTGCTACGTACATGGATGCCTGCATGCATACATGCGTACATACAGAAAGACATTCATGCATACATACGTACATTCATATACACATACGTGTGCTGGGATCTATGAGTTGCAAACCATGTGGTGAGAGCAACGTGATGCAGGTTAAATGATTCAAGCTATGTGGTGCGAGCTATGCGGTGCGAGCTATGTGGCGCACCTAGCGCACCTGCCGCCCACGAGGTGCGCAAACGACCAGCCACCGATTGGGCACCAGGCGAAACCCCAGCGGACCCACCAAGCGCACAGAACGCCCACGGCGCCCGCAGGGCGGCCACGACCCGCAATCAACTGGGCACCAGGCGAACCCACGGCGCACCCACCCAGCGCACTGGGCTCCCGCGAGGCGCACACGGCCGCGCACCACTTTGGCACCAGGCGAAGCATTGGCGGACCCATCCGCTGACTCATCAAGACAAGTGTGAGCCCCCTAAGTGCAAGCATTGTCGGGGGAGTTCGTGTCGTCCCCCTCTGTACCTTGTTCTTCGTACGTGTGTTCTTCTTTGCTCGGGAATCCCCCTCCTCTGCCTCCCTCCTCCCCCTCCGCTGGAAGCGCTCTTGTGCCCCGCGCGCCGCCGCTGGTTCGAGCCCCGCCCCCAGCCCTGGCTGCGTTCGCGGCCCTCCCCCCCTCCCACTCCTTTGCCTCCTCCTCGCCACGGCAGCCCCTCGCAATGACCACGGACCAGATCAAGGACATGCAGCGGAGGGACTTGGTGGCCAAGGATGGCTTTGCATGCGCGGTCCAGAGGCAAAGGGGTTTTAGGTTGTGTTCGCCAGTCCGGGCCCCCGGGGCCCCTGGGATCCTTCTTGTGCTCCAGGGCCAGCAAAAGACAACCCAGGAGGAAAAGCCCGCCCGTGGGAGAGCTGGAGTCCAGGGCTCCCGACCACGACGTGTGCGAGGCATAGTTGCCGACAGCGGTGCCGCAACTAGGGGTGGGATTTTTTGGAAGCTCTAGGTCTCCCACATGGGGTCGGAGTAGATGGGGTCGGAGGATCGCGCCGCATCGCCGATGCATCGGCTATGCGGCTCGATATGAAGCCCGATTTTCTGCACGCCGAGGTCGCCGATGCATCGCCGACGTCGCCAGTGCATGGCCGATGCATCGCCGATGCATCGTCCATGCATCGCCGATGCTTCGGCGGTGCGTCGCGATCCTCCGACCCCATCTACTCGGACCTGATCTAGGAGGCCTCTACGTGCGAGCTCCCCTCCTTTCCTAACCCCATCCTCCTCCTTGCCGACTTCTTCTTTCTCCCTCGCCCTTCGCTCTGTTCCCGTTGCCATCTCCAGGGCTGCACGCCTGCGACGCCTGTTCTGTTCTACTCTCCAGACGGGGGGCCTCCCTTTGCCGCGACTGGAGGTGGTATTTGTCTGGAAACGGCCCGCGCTCGAGCGCCAGCGCGAAAGGCATGCCGGAAGATCATCCCCCACCCCCGAGGGCGGCCGCCCTCCTGTCAGCACTGCTGGCGGGTGCCGCTATCGGGGTCGGAGGCGCCAGTTTGGCACTCAGGGAAACGGGTCATTCGGCAGCAAGTCGTGGGAGCCTGGTATACCCTCTTAATTCCGATGTTAGCGTCGACTAGCGTCGATTAGCGTCGGGGAGTCTGTGAGATAGCGTCGATTTAGCGTCGATTTCGGGGCGAGATGTTCCTGCAAGGTTCGAGATCATTCTTTCAATTCAACAGTGACAAGCCAGGGGGTCCAGAGGGCGCCCAATCCCGAGGCGCCCAGTAGCCCGACGACTGCATTCATCCATGCCGTCAGATGTGCTCCGCGGTCCTCTCAGCTGCCCCGCCCCGCGGCGCTGCCGCCCCTCGCGCCACGGAGGCCGAGGGCAGGCCGCCACGGGCCTCCCCCGCCCGCAGGTCCCGCTGAGGACCTGAGAGGGCGTCAGTCGGCTTGAGAAGGCTGTTTCGGACGGGACGTGGGCGAGGATGCGTCCGTTCCAGAGCGTTCCAGAACGCTCTCGGAGCGCCCCAGACATCCTCTAGAGGCAGCCTTCAGAACCGCCATGTTTCAAGAATTCTCGAGTTATCCTCACCCGATGTGATCCTCGTGTTGGTTTCGTCTCAACTGTATGCTGGCAGTGCGCCGTCGACCAGCGCCAGCGGAGCCCGTGAGGTCGGCGCACACGGCCCGGATGAGATTGCGGGGCGGGGCCCGCTCTCCTCGGACTTTGGCGTCTCTCGCTGGACGCGGCAACGGCCCCCTCGCTGGCCACCCATGGGCGCCAGAGCGCGCCGTCGCGTTTTGGTGTGGCATCGAAGGGGGAAGCGGCCGCCCCAGGTCGGTTTGCCCCACTGCTGGCGTCGGCGCCCGTGCCCAGTGCCCGCGGTATCTGCTTTGGCGCGTGGCAGGCCCTCGGCGAGCTTGCTGTTGACACCTTGCACGAGGCTCTACAAGAGTAGCTGATGGAGAGCGACTACGCAGACTTCAATCACAGTCTCATGGTATTTCTGCCGAATGCGGCCAGCGAACAGACCCAGATGGAGACGATGCGTTCGAAGCGGAAAACACCGGCCTCTCAACATCGTCAATGCGGACAACCGTCTGCTGGCGAATGCGGTCCGGTTGAGGATCGAAGCGGCCCTCGACAACCATGTGTCCAGTCAGCACCACGGCTTCATCGGAGGCCGGTCCATGCTGGCTAACGTGGTGGACATTGATGAGGCTATGCAGAAGAAGACGTTCAAACAACCCAACGGCGTGGCAGTCTTCTACGACTTTGCAGCGGCGCTCCCGTCGGTCAGCCACAACTTGTTGATGTCGCCGCACATTTTCAGATTCGTCCGCATCCTCCTTACGCCCAGGACTACTGCCCCCTCTCGGTCGGCGGAATTCGACTCGGTGGTTTCGATCAGAAGGCCGGCATACGGCAGGGCTGTCCTCTATCCCCAATTCTTTTTTGCGGTGGCTACCGATTTGCTACTGCGCCGCCTGGCCAGATTGGTCGCCGACTCGTGCAGGCGCGCGTAACGGCGCCGCGCGTACGCAGATGATTTGGCCATGGTCGTGAAGGACATAGGAGCGGCTGCCCTTTTACTCGAACGCATTTTCGAGGAATGCGAAACCCTCTCTAGGGTGCGGCTCCACCACGGGAAGACCATCGTGGTCCCGCTTCGCCCCGCCGCCGTGGGCCACAGTCGCCAGCTTCTGGCGCGGGCTGCCCCGACGCTCGCGGACTTCATTCAGTATCCAATACCACCCGAGGTACTCGGCCTCGAGCGCGGCACTCCCACTTGGAGCAAGGCGCTGTGTACATACGTGGAGCGGGCGCAGGTCTGGGGCCAGGCGGGGCGCGGTGCATTTCGCAGTATCCCGGCGTATCGGGTCTACGTTTCATCTATATTGACATTTCTGGGGCAGTTGGATGGCGTGCCTGACGAGGTCGAGGATGCAGAGCGACGTGCGTGTGCAGCGCTCTTCGGCACCTTGGAAGCTCGGCGGGAATCCCGAACGTCCAGGAGACTGCGCTGGCGGCCAAGTGCCGCTTGGCTATGTAGGAGGACCGCCGCGACGGAGGTCTTCGAGTGGCAGACCGTTCCGTTGCTCTTCGTCGCGCCCGCATGACCTGCAACTTCCCCAACCGCGCGGCCGTTCGGAGCAGTTGGTGGGACGCGGCTTTCGTTCACCAGCAGGCTTCTGCCAAGCAGCTCGCGCGCGAACGGGGGTACCGTCCCGCCGCCATGCTAGCCCGGTTGGCCAGCGCCGCGGACGGCACAGACCGCGAGCCCGCAGCGCGGAAGGATTGGCAGATGGAGTGCTTGCAGATTGTCCGAGTGCCCGCCGTCGACGGGGTATTCCGGCATCTCCACCTTCCGCTTCGAGCTGGCGGCTCTCCCGGGGCATCGGGTGGGCCAAGCAATCAGCTTGTTACAGCGCCTCAGCGCAATCGTGCCGCCACGCGTCTGGCACGCGTCCCTCCGCACGCTCCTGGACGGTTGGGGTGCGGTGGAACGCATGGTAGGTGATGCCACGTGCGGTTTCGGATGTGCCGCGCGGGACGGTTTGCGACATCATTTGGTCTCTCCCGCCTTCCGCCTTTTTGCGGGGGCGAACTCGGGTTGCAGGCGCCGCCGCCTGGGCAGCAGGAAGGTTATTTCTCGGGACTGAGGCCCGCCATGTCGGATGTGTCTGAGGTGACCGTCCTACGCCGCGTGTTGGCCGTCTACGCACTGCGCCCTTTATTCTGCACACTGTCACTCCCGACGCCGTGGCCTGCGCACGCATGCCGTGCGCAGGGCTATGCAGCAATTTATCCACGACGCCTGCCTCGGATTCCCAGGTCTCGCGCGCGCGTGCCGTGGAGCGCAATCTTGACGCCTCGCCTCCTTCCGCACTCTCTCCGCCTTCCTCCTCCCCCTCCTCCTACTCCTGGTTTGTGCGTGCGTTTGCGACGCAGTGGGGACTGCAAGTGAGGAGCATGCCGCCTTTCGAATGCAATAACAATGTGTTCTGCCTGCGCCGTTTACAGGCTCTCAAGACAAGCTCTGGTGTTTGAGGGGGATCTATATTAGAAGCCTGAATATCGGCGCTGCTCTCCCGACCGCCTGCCTTCCGGGTGGTGTCGTCGTCCCTTTTTTCCGCCGTCTTGCGTCGCTCCTCTGCCTGCTTTCCCTCCTGTTCGTCCCTCGGGCTGTCGCCCGGGCTTCGCCCTCCTCTCTCCCCCGCCCTCGGCGCGGTCGTTCCTTGTCGCTCGCTCTCCTCCCTCCTCCGGCTCCGGGTTCGTCCGGTGTCGTTCCCTCCTCTGCCCCCTGCTGCTGTTGTTCTTCCAGGTCGTCCATCTCGGGGGCCGCTTGGCGGGCAGGGCGCGCATGGGCAGATTTTCGACACCCTCGGTCCAGACAGATTCGGACACACATCGCCGCGGCCCGCTTTTGACGGGTCGAGTTGACACGTGGTGCATCTCGTCCTTGCCCCCCCCTTTCCTGGTGGCCGGCCCTGTGCGGTGCTGTGCCACCTCAGACCCTCATGTCGGCAGGATGGTGTAGAGTGCACGCGTTTGTCGAGAAATGCGGTCCGTTAGCGTCTCACATCTCTCGCTTCCAGTGCGTTGAATTGCGTCGTGTTGTCGCGGGGGCCCAAAGGATCCTGGTGACCAGAATGCGTTTCCAGCTTCCTGGCTGGAATTCCCGCCAGTGCTTAGGATAACGTTTTTAATGACATGCTTGTCTCGGGCGAATGACTGCCCGAATTTCCGCCCCAGTCGCGGCTTAGTTTAGTCAGTCTGTGATGCGGTTGCATGTGCAAGTTGAGGAATTGTGTGCGCAAGTTTTGTGACCAAGCCGCGTGCCCTGCACCGTCTGGGCGCCAGCGGTGTCCCGTTGCACAGCGGCGCCCCATACCAGGCTCCAGTTCCGTGACGCGCACCGCCCGTGGAGCAGGGGGTGCGTACAGACCGCCGACCCCGCGCGCGGGAGACAGAGTTCCTCGTAGTCAGACCCGCCAGTGTCCGCGTGCCGTTCCCCCCCCCTCCTCGTTCTCTAGCCCGTGGCTTGTTGTTCCCAGTTTTCCTCCAGTTTGCCAGTCGCCGTGTCTCCTGACAGATCCTGGCGCCCGCCAGGCAACCAGAAGGGTTGCGACTGGGCTTTCTCCCTCTCCCTTCCCCTCCTCCTTCCCCTCCTCCTCTCTACTTTTACTGTGCCATCCTCGCTCACGCCGAGCCCTAGACACGATGTGGACCAGCGGCGGTTTCTTATCTGTGGTTTTTGCAGTGCCGCTTCATGGCGTGCTTGCTCTGCCCTCTCCGCTGTTCACTACATTTTCTTGCCTATTGCAGGTCGGTCCATGTTGCGTTCACTCCTCCGCCCGTGCCCGGGGCCACTGCCTTTCTGTTTCGGGGCTTCGTTTGTCTCCTGCTGGCGGGGTTGTTAGTTCCCTCTCCCTTCCTCCTCTCCTCCCTCGGTCTCCTCTCTCTGCTTCCTCTCCCCTTCCTCGGCCACCTTCGCAGGACCACCCATTTTTGATGGCCGGGCCGCTTCTCTGCATCTCTGGCGTTTCACCCCCTTCCGATTGTACGGGGCATTTGAGTTAGCTCCGAGGGGTATCGCTCACTTCGCTGAGCTGTTCGTGTGGAGGTGTCCGCTTTCGTCCCCTCAACTTTCTTCCCACTTCTCCAAAGAAAATATAGGCCTCCTAGATGAGGTCGGAGTAGATGGTGTCGGAGGACGGCGCCGCATCGCCGATGCTTCTCGATGCTGAGCCCGATTTGCTTCACGTTGATGGCGCCGATTCATCGCCCACTTCGACTCGCCGATACATCTCCGATACACGCCGATGCATCGCCACTGTATCGGCGTTTGCGGCGCGATCCTCCGACCCCATCTACTCCGACCCCATCTACTCCGACCCCATCTAGGAGGCCTCTAGAAAAGCAAAAAGGCCCGTGCCTAGTGCCCGGCGCTGGCGCCATCCTGCGTGCCTTCGGTGTCTGGTCGCCAGGGCGGTGACCGAGTTGCTGGGGCCCTGGTGGGTTTCTGGCCGCCCTCTCTCGTGTCTGTTGGCAGCGGGCCCCTTGGTGCCCTTCACGCCGCCGCAGGAAAGGCGAGAGGCCCCGAAGATTCGGGCCGGACGACAGGGGGGGATTGGGAAAGTGGGGGTTACGAAATTTGCTGCACGCAGCTGGTTTCGGCCCCGCCGCCGGGCCCATTCCTCGATACATGGGCGCTCCCGGCGATGGAAGGCGCCGGGGAAATCAGTTACGTGAGCTGATTCTCAAACCCCACCTTTGCTATCCCCCCTTTTCGCCCGGCCCGAAAGATGCTTCCACGGCATCGGGCTGGGTCGGGTCGGCCATCCCTCTGTTCTCGTTCACAGCATGCGATTGCTCCCCCTGCTCGCTCTCTCCTGCCTTCCTTCCTTCCTCTGCGCCGTCTGGCCGCAGCCCTGGGAGAGAAGCGGCCGTTGCGCAAATCGAAGCACGCTCGGCATGCCAGGAACCTTGGGATCGGTGCGAATCTTGGAGGGCTTCGGAGAACCACAATCGCCCAGACAAGGAAAACTCCTCCCTCCTCGGTGACCGTGCCTCCGCCAGCGCCCCAGCACCCTGCAGACCGGGGCCCTCCCAGCGTTTGGTTGCGCCCGGGGGCAGGAGCAGTGGTACGCCTACTGCGAGGAGCACGGCAACAACGTCCGGGATCCTTCGGAGCTGCCGCCCCCCCCCCCGGCGCGCTGCAGCCGTGGCCGAGAGGTCACGAAGAGGCGGACCGGGCGAAAGAGGATGTCCAGACGGACGGAGAGGCCCACGAGACGACCAAGGAGGGCCCCAAGAGGCCCAAGCCGTGGGCTCCCAGTACGTTTTTGAAGCATCCTGGGGTTCACGCCTCCTTGAGGACTTCCGAAACTGCGAGGCGACGCAGGATCGCTCCCGAGGTCGCCCCGAGACGGCCCAAGACGTCCCCAAGGCGAGGCGGCTGCAGCAGAGCTGCACAGGGGCTCCAGGCAGCTCGGGGTCTGGCAGGGCGATCGGGTCGCTGCCCGATCGTCAGGAAGAGGGGGGGGCTTCGGCTCCAGGCGGGTATACGGTATGGGGACGCGGCCCAGAGGGAGCCAAGAGGAGGTACTAGGCGGAGGAAGAGGAGGACGACGAAGAGGAGGAGGAGGCGGAGCAGGCGGCGATGGGCGTGTTTTTTGAACACCAGCGCGGAGCTACACACACACGCACACACACACACACACACACACGCACCACGAGCGGATGGGCGAGATCCGCAAGGGGGCAAAAGACCCCGTGTCGGTCAGAGTCGTCTGAGTGCTCGACGTGCTGTGCTCCACGACTCCCCTCGAGGCGGTTGGGCAGGAGGAGGCGAACGGGACGTCGAGATGGCCATCGGCCCCGTAGCGCGGGGCGGGGTGGCGGGGAGGCATGCTCTCTTGGGTGGCGCCCAAGCAGGTGGCCTCAGGGAACGCCCCACGCCATACCTTCTTTCTTCTACGCCAGGAAGGAAAGACCGAGTGTGCGTGTACGCGTTTGTCGTTTTCGAGCACCTGGAGCCCTCCCTGGTGTCGTGGGACAGTCTCATGATGAAACGCTCGTTTCGGGAAAGCTTTGGAGTTCAGGACCCGATTCCCCCAGGGCCCCCTTCGTTCATGCCAACCTCTTTCTTGCACCGTTTTTCCCGACAAGGGTTGTGGGTGTGCATGGGCTGGGGGTTGCCGGCGATATTCCCTGGACTGGCCGAGCCGCTGCCCCCTAGCGTTGGCGCAGTTTCGACCTCTTTCGGGTCGGTGTTGGTGACGTTGGTCGAATGACATGTGCAGGTGCCAGGTGCTGTTCCAAGTCTTCAGCACCTTCGTGTGCATTCGACCGGTTCCTGCCTCTTCGTGGCAGACCCTGGCCTGTGGTGCCGTCCCCGCGAGTTTCCAGCGCAGGAAGGCATGGCCATCAGGACGGAGGGAGGAGTGAGGACGGCTATGGGGGACACGGTTTTTATGTTGTCCTCCCGTTCAAGACGAGACTGAGGAGCGCGCGCCCTCAGAGGCTATGTGGTGCGAGAGATCTCCTTATTTGTGCGTCTTCTCGTGACGGGCATGCGGTCAATGCTTGGGCAGAAGGGTTCGCCCACATCAGCACGCGTTCAGTTCTGCCAGTGTGGGTATCCTGTCTGTCTAGATCCGCCCACGGCCCAAGGACAACGTTCGCACACCATCCTCCCGCCCATTTCTCGGCACACACACACATGCATACACCTCGCACACTGCGTGTCCCACAGGGAGCTGCGCCTCGGCATACCTCACGGTTAAAGTTTCCACACAGGGGGTCCTACCGACGGTCCCAGGGACAACGTTTGCATTGCGTCCCTCCGCCAATTTTGGCACACCCGTCCCCCCTCATGCGGATCGCGCCCCAGAGGGAGCTCCACTTGCGGCCTCAGTGGGCGCGGTCGCGTAAGGGTCTCAGCACAATCTGGCGCACCCTTCGCGCGGACCGTGCCCTGCAGGGAGGTCATCGAGTGTTTCGCACTTGGCAACCCATCATCCGCATTGCCCCGCGGCGCGCAGCATGTGAAGAGAGGAGCCCGCCCTGCGCTTCACGCAGCTGCATAGGTTTGAGCTCTTCGCCAGGCGAACCGTTACACTTGTAGGCAGCCGTGTGGTGTCCAGTTCGAAGCCTCGGAGGCCCATCGAAAGCGAAAACGGCGCAAAGGCAAAATCATTGAACGGCGATTGCGTTGTTTTCTTATGCTTTGTTTTACTATGTTTGCCTCTCGGTTTCCACGGAGGTTCGAGCAGGTTTCCAGAGCTATTGTCCCGAGGAGGCCCGCGTGGCCACCTCGGGCAGTATTGTGATGATTTTAGGGGTATGCGCGAGGACATGTCGAACAACATTGGACCAGGTTGCGCGATCTTGCAAGCTATCCGGGCACATCCTGGAAGTTCTGACCGCTTTCCCGTCAGACCTCCAGGGAGGGGACACGGAGGAGTATCTTTCCCCAACGGGACAAGGTTTTTTTGGGGTGAGTTCGTACTCTCGTACTCAGAAGCTCCTACGCCCAGAGGGACGGCGGGTTTGCGCCTGGCTTCTCAGCATGTTTATCATGGCGTGCTCTGCGATTTGCCCATGCTAGAGATAGAGAGAGAGAGGGAGAGAAACATACAGAAAGAGGAACATAAGGAGAGATAGTGTGCGTCTTTGCCATTGAAAGCGCATGCCGCTGCGAGAAGCACGACGCTCCGTTCCTCGAAGCCTTTATCCAATCGTACCATTCCGGCGTGCGCCTCGAGTTCAAGGAGGAGTGCCCGGGGCAGCACAGGGAGAGGGTAACGGGAATGTGGATGGGGCTGGATGGAAAGGAGAGGGAGGCCGAGGAGGGCGAGGGTGAGGAGAGATGTAGGCAGCGAATTGCCGTCCGTTGTTCTAGCCAGATCTGGTAAAAGACCGATGCAGAAGGCAGGAGGACGCCGCAGCAACGCGCTGCCAACGGGAACCCAGACCAAGACAGAAGCGCTTGTGCGCCAGCATCCCACGCCCCTCGCCTCGGGAGAAGGGCGAGCGCCTTCCATCGTGCGGACGCACGGCATCCGCATCCGAAGAGGTCCGGTGTTGCCAGAAGTGTTCCTGGCCCAAGGTACCCCCAGGATTCTCGGGGTGGCCAAGCTGGCCTCCAGCACCCTTCACGAGACCCAGAGGGCCCCAGAGGCTCCAAAATGGAGCGAAAACCTGGGGGCACCTTGGACCAGGGGCACTTCCAGCAACATCCGAAGAGTGCGAACATCCTCCCGAGCAGGAGAGTGCGGCGATGACGCACGGATGCGGCCGCTTGGACCGCCCACGGATGCGCACAGGGCAGTCGCCTGGCCAGATAGCGGGGCGCGAAGTTCGGTGACGTGCAGTGGAGGCCCATGCCAAGAAACACCCTTCTTGTCTCCAGGGTGCCGTGGACACCTAGAAACTCGATGGTGTTGCTGTGGAAGGCGTGACGTTCCCACACCCAAGATCCATGGACGTCCTGGGGTCTCAGGGTTGGGGTTCTTGTGGAAGGTTTCTTGTGGATCAGCCTCGACTGTACACCCCAAGGGGGCTATTCGGACGCACTCCTATCTAGGATGGACGCCCCCCCATCGTATGTCCCAGGGTTGGGCGAGAGTCGGAGATGCAAGGGGCGGCGGGCCCTCAAAATGTAGGTTTCGGAAACGCAGGCCCGCGGGCGCGCCAGGCGCGAGGCCCAACAATCGAGCATTGAAGTTTAGGTGCTTTGCTTCTTGGCGCGTTTCAGTCGTGATGGCGTGCCTCGGACGCGAGTGCGCGTGCCTTGCGTGTATATGACCCCGTGCATGGAACGTACAAGCGAAACATCTTACCATTCGGGCGTCATCGTCATCATGATCACCACCACCATCATAATTATGTTTGTAGTTGCGCGCTCATGGGGCGTGTGCGCGCGTACATATGTTTGTATACCCTGCCAGACACCTGCATCCGAACGCGCCCCACGTCGCCGAGAGCGCTTTCTCGGACAGGAGTCTGCGCTTTCCCTCCACGATTGCGCCCGCGCGGGGGGGCTCAGTCACTCGCGGCGCTAGGGACGACGATGACGACGCCAGCGACGACGCCGACGACGACGACAACGATGACGTCGGCGACGGCGACGGCGACGACGACGTCCAGAGGCTTCCCCAGGTGTCCCTCGAGGTTTCCCTGGCGTGCTCTTTAAGGGCTTCGGAGGCCCGAGAGGGTCCATGGAGGTTTCCGGGGGATCTCGTAGGTTTCTCTGGAGGCCACTGGCGTCCGACGGCGACGGCGACAGCGACGACGCCGTCCAAAGGCCTCCAAAGCCCTCCCCCAGAGGTCCCTGCAGCGTCTTTCGGGTTTCCTCGGGGCCCCCGGAGGTTTCCCCAGATGCATGCGAACTCGTCCGCTGATTCTCGCGGATTCTCACAGATCGCCATGGGTGTTGTTGGGTTTCCAGCCAAGATCCGCAGCGGATTCTCGCGGGTTCTCGTGGATCCAGCTGCGTGTCTAGCAAGGGTTCGTGGCAGATTCTCGCGTTTTTTCGCGGATTCTCGTGGGTTCGGCCCTGTTGCGCGCCATTCGGTCCGCGCGCGCGCATAAGGGCCACGAGGTCAGCGGGCGGCGATGACTGTGACCGCCCGCGCGGTTCCGCAGGCTATTGCGTCCGCCTGTGGGCGCTGGGCAGAGCCTGCGGTCGTTCCACAAGGCACGCGCGATCGTTTGTGGTTCCCTGGCGATGCCAGTCGGCGTTTCGGCGCCTGCGAGCGCCGTTGCGCTCGTGCGAGCGCCTTCCCGGCAGTGCCTCTGAACGCGTTTGTGCGCCTGAAAGCACCCGCGTTCCATAGGTTGTGGCCGATTGTGAGCAACCGCCTGGGCGCGGGGTTCGGCCGTCGTTGCCGTGAGCCCTACTTATGATTACAATGGCGTCCCATGTGTCCTCCCATGGCCTCCTGTGACCTCCCGCCCCGCTGGCCTTTGGGCGCCTGGGTCGACCGTGGCTGTTGGCCCCTCCGTGGCAGACTGCGTTATCCAGTAGTCTTCTGTGGTTGTGCCTTCACTGGCGCCTCGCCCACCGCGGCTTTGCCCCTGTGGATTATGATGGCTTCGCGTGCGTTGTTCCGATAATGTTTCGTTTTGGTCCAGCGCTCCGACCTTGAAGTTCTATATTATATATACATATAGATATTAGAGCCAATGAAAATTAGCCCCGCGCCAGAATCGTACGTGCGAAACCAGATCAAATACCAGCTGCTGGCGAGCAGTAAGAGTTAAAATCGCTGCGGTGGCGCAAAATCGTCGCCAGCAGCCCATCCGATTTTGCCGGGGGGGCCCAGCACCCCTCGCAACGGGCTGACATGTTCCTTGTTGGACGACTCGGCCGTGTGGGCACGCGCGTGCGCTCGAGCGCGTCCGTCCAAGCAGCGGGCCCCTCCCCCCGAGGCCCTGCCGCGCCACCCGCCGCGCCACCCGCGCGGGGACGGCCTGCGGGCGGGCCGGCTTGCGCGCGTCGGCACTCCTGTTCTCCCCCGCCAACCCCCCCCCCGTCGCCCCCAGACCCCCTCGAGTCGTGACAAAAATCGCGACGGGAGGTATTTGGCAATTTCCGGTCTCCGGAGGCGTTTGAAGGGGCTCCTAGGCCGTCAACGAACTTACCCATTATGAAGAAACGGTGCCCAGGAAGGGCCCAGACCTCTGGGGGGGGTCCGCGTCATGAGACAAATCACGACGTCGGGGGCTTGGGCCTTCGAGTGCGTATGACACGTCGATGTCATTCTTAGTTAACAAAGACGCTTCATCCTCCTCAGACGCACGCGCTGTCCCCTAGGAGCGCGGAACGCGCATTAGCACGCTGCTGACTGCCACCGCCTGCGGTCTTCATGGGCTTGCGTTCTGGCGCACGGGCTTTTTTATGTTATATGATTGTTATATGCCTCTCTGGGACTACCCACCCGGCGGACAGGGAATGATTCAGCGCAACGGGGAGGGATGAGCGGAAGAGGTAGGGTGTCAGATGTGGCGCGAGCGCGCCCACCTCGCCTTCCCCCCTCCCCCGTCCACCTTGGAGACCCGCCGCCAGAAACTGGTTGGACACTGCTACCGCTCAGCACTTGTTTGGCAACAGGGAAATCGGTTTTCCACGCGCACCTTTGACAGAGGTCCAGCCCGCTCGCGCCCAGCTACTTGTCCCCCTGACCGTCCATCGGTCCGTCAGCCATCGCTCCATCCGCCCATATGCACCACCGAGCTTATTCGCTGGACAGTCTCCCCATCATTCGGCCCCGTCCCCCTGCCGTGGGCCCTTCTGTCCTGGTCGTGTTCCCGGTCCTCGCCGCGGTCTTGGCCCTTTTCCGTCCTGCCGTGTTCACTGCCTTGTTCCTGCCCTGTCCTGACGATGTCTAGTGTCATGAATCGGAGATTGGGGGGTGATATTGTAATGTCCTTGTGATTAACAAACGATGCCCGCCCGGGCCTGATGAAAAGACCCCGCGGGGCGCGAAACGTTGTTGTAATCACGCGCGCCAGGGTTCGGAGAGTTCGGGGAACCACTGTGCCGCGAATGATGGCAAACGCATGAACAGTGAAGGGGCGGAGGGGGGGAAGGCGGAGGAGGAAGAGGAGGACGAGGACGAGGAGGAGGATAATTAACGAGGATGACGACGACCGAGCTGGTCCTCGCAGTCGCGGGAACTCCAGGGTTCTAGGCCCGTTTCCTTCAGTGCCCCTTTTCATCGCGGTGGCGGCACATCCGTTCGACCGCGTTAGCGGCGCCGACGGAGCTGCCTCTTCCGCCCTTGCCTTCCCCCCTTCCCCCCTCCCCCCCTGAGATCGATGGTGGGATCGATTGAGTAAGATATTGGTCCCTCCCTCCCCCGTAACCCTTTTTCTCACTTGGTTTGGGCGGCGGTGGCCGTGGCTGTCCCGCAGTAGTGTCCCCATGGTGTCCCGCCGTGTCCTATGGTGCCCCGGTGGTGTCCCCGTGGTGCCCCGACGGTGTCCGATGGTGTCCCGTGGTGTCCCATGGTGTCCCGCGGTGTCCCGATGGTGTTCTTGTGGTGTCTTGGTGGGTTCCCGGTCGTGTCCTGGTGGTGCCCCGATGGTGTCCCGATGGTGTTCCAATTGGTGTCCAAGTGGTGTCACCATGGTGTCCCGCTGGTGTCTCGAGGGTGTCCCGGATGTGCCCCAGCGGTGTCCCGATTGGTTGCTTCTGCGTGGCAGGGGGTTTCTAAGAGTTTTACTTTTGTCGCCGTAATGTTGCTCGAGCTAAAAGCCCTAGCAAGCTTGCGGGGACCGCCACAAGCAGTACGATTGCCGCCTTGTGCCTGGCGGCTGGCAGGCTGCCCCGCCCTGCCAACTGGATTGGCGACGGGTGGTGTGCGGGCGGTCTCGTTGGGTTCATCTGGACGTCCATCACCACCATCACTACCGAGGCCAGCGTGACCTGGGCGGCCGTCTACGCTCCGTTCCTCTGCCCGCCGCCCGTGGCCTTGAGCCTTGAGTATCCACACGACGGGCCGGAGAGCTCCCACGTCCTGGGCGAGGGCGCGGCGGGATCGTCGATGGAAATCCCCAGCTGGCTGCTGCTGCTGGTGCTCGGCGGCGGGGAGGCTGTCTACACGCCATGGGGCGGCTTCTACGTGGAGCAGGAGACCGACTACCACAACCCGGCCTCGCTCACTGGGCGGAAGGGTTCCCCGACGGGCGTCCTGTCGGCGGTGGCGTTCAGCCGGGCCCTGGAGCCGGACGACGCGGCTGAGCTAGCTGGTCACGAGGGGGCGCGCCGAAACCGCCGTGATGACGGGGGTGACGGGCCCGATCCCAGCGAACCCGAGTCGGTGGACTGGAGGGGTGGCCGGCTGGACCATCCAGCCTGCTCCCTGGGGCAGGCGCCCCGCCTCATTGCCTCGGGCCGCCGGCTCCGAGGCAAGCAAGCCATGTCCTTCCTCGTCGGTGACGCCGAGGGCGCGGGGGCCGCTGTCGTGCCAGCGTCGGAGCCGGGCGGCGGCACGCCCACGCCTTTGCCGGAGGCTGCCGATGGTTACGGCTGGCTGCGCGGCGATCTGGCCTGCTGGGACGGGGGTTTTGCCTTCGGCGCCGAGCTGCGCCCTGGCCAGCCACCTCGTGTCGGACTGAGTGGGCCGGGCGAATGCGGCATCGCCGCTGGCCGCAGCGGAAGACATCACCCAGTGGAGCTCGTTGAGTTCGGCCGCGCGTCGGAGTGGCGCGAGGCCAAGCTGCCGGGGCCTCCCGGCTCCGAGGCGTCGGCGACCTGCCCGGGAAGAGGGCGCTCGGCTACGAGTCACCTCGCCCGTCCGCGCTGGCTCCCTCCGCGGCCCGAGCCGAGGCGGCCGAGGTCGACGACCTCCGTGTGCGCTGGGTCGACTACGACGACGCGGGGGTCAGGTACAAGGGATGGAAGAAGGTGCTGCAGGAGGCCACTCAGGAGAGCGCCCAGACGGCTGGGCTCAGAGGGCCCCCGGTGTGCCTCCCCGTGGGTGTGAAGCTCCACAGGCACGGCAGGACGCCCAAGGTCTGGTTCGCGGAGTGGGCTCGCGGGACGGGCATCTCGCGCAAGGACCGGGCCTGGCCTGAGGTTGAGTGTCTCATCGAGTGTCTCTGGCTGGTCGGCAGCGACGACCAGCTGAACGTGGACGCCGCCGCGGCCCTGGATGCGGTCGCCCGGCGTCTGCTGCAGCACGTGGAGGCTTACGCGGGGGAAGTGGGCAATCCCCATTGGAGCGCGGCCAAGCACTTCAGCGCCACCTCCTCGGCCCTGGACCTCGTCTCCAAGGGGGTGCGCATGCACGCCGCGCGGCGTGCCAAGGACGAGCTGGAGCTGAGGAGTCTCCGGGCCCACGCCCGCGCGCCCCACTCGGGGGTCGCCCCGGGTGCCGACGCCGCGGCCGCCGCCGCCCTCGCGGGGGGGTGCCCCCCGCAGGCTGAGGGCGACCAGGCCGGCGGAGACAGAGCAGGAGAAGGTGGGGGCAGAGGCGGCCGCGGGCGAGGCGCGCGGCCGCCGGCCACGTGATGCTGGGCGCCCAGGGCGACGACGGCCCGACCGTCGCCCGCGAACCCCATAGGGCGCGTGCCTTCCTGCCTCTCCCTCCGCTGAGTGCCGTGGGCATCCCTGCGGCCGCCGCGGGCGGGAGGCGCAGACGGCTGCTGCGAGACATCAACGCGGCCATTGAGGCACTGAATTGGATGCATGGCGGGGATCATCGACCTGCCCCACGGCAGATGTCGGCGTCCACCGAGAAGAAGATTTTGGGCCTACAAGCTGACGTTGACAGCGCCGTCAGCGAACGTGGGGCCTTAGCCAGGCTCTTGGAGGGGCGCTCGGGGCATGCGCCGGCGCCTTTATGCAGTGTCGGGTCCAGCGAGTACTCGAAGGTATCTATGCCGAGTGACTTACACGACTCGCCGTCACTCATCTCGATGTTGCCTTCGGAGGCGAGGAAGCACCTCGAGGATTTTGAGAAGCTTATTCTCCGGCCCGCGCAGAAGTCGGATTAATTAAACAATGCGAAGGGGTGCCGGGCTGCCACGCTGACCCGGCGCTGCAGAAGGATCCTCGTACCTACGGCCGCCTTGTGCGGAGGGTAGCGAGAGTTGGCACGGCGACTTTCACTCGCGACCCGGCCTTCGCGCTGGGAGCCTAGCCTTCTTCGTCACCAAAAAGGCCGACAAGCTCAAGCTGATCGTCGATTGCCAGCGAGCCAGCCAGCTGGTTCAGAAGCCCCCAGGCGTCGCCCTCCTGAGCGGCGAGGGGCTATCCAGGGTGGAGATCGACGACCCCGAGGGCCTCCTGGAGGGCTTGCCGGTCCACCTCGGCGTCGGGGGCGTCGCCGACTGCTTCCACAGGATGAGGTTAGTGAAGACGGCGGGGGGGCGACATCCGGCGCCACTTCTGCTGGCCGCCCCTTGCGCCCAAGCACGCCGGCGCCTCCGAGGTCGACGGGGCGAGGCCGGACGAGAAGATTTGGCCCATGTGTGCGAGCCTTCCGATGGGCTTCTCGCGGTCGCTGCACTTCGCCCAGACCGCGAACGCCCAGCGCCTGGGCCGCCAGCCCGCGCTGCGGCAGAGCCAGGAGCTTTCGGACCGGGGGTCTTCCCTGGTCCTCGGCGGGCCTTCCGCCTTGGCAGGGTCTGGCCACTACATGTATGTCGACAACGCTGGCGCCCTCTCTTTTGACGGCGACCTGGTGGGCCGCGCTCTGGCGGAGGCCCAGAGGGACTTCGACGCCGACGCGCTGCGCTTCCACGAGATGGAGGTCTTCGACCACGGCGGGCCCTCTTCTGGGCTGGCATCTTGACGGCGACGCCCGAGTCGCCCGGCCCAGTGACAAGCGTTTTGCCCTGGTACGTCGTGGCGTCCGGGCGTTGCTTCGGCTGAGGAAGGTCTCTGGCTGGCAGGTCGAGGCCGTCCTCGGGCGCGTCGCCTTCCTGTGCCTGATGCGTCGGGAGCTCCTGTCGATCTCCCACACGGTGTATCGGTTCGTTCGCGAGTCCTATACGAAGTTCCAGCGTCTGCGGGACTCGGCTCGGGAGGAGTGAGCTCAGCGCTGGTCGCATCGTGACGTGGCCGAACCGCCTGGGCGGCACCCGAGCCCGAGAGCACGTCTTCGAGGTTGCCGGCTTCGAAGTGGACCCTGAGAGCGGCGACGCGGAGCGCGACTTCCTGGGCCGGCCCGCGCGGCTCGACAGGGGGGCGAGGGAGATTCTGGAGTCGGCGCGGTGGGAACGCAATGAGGATTTTGCTGAGGTGCCCAGCCGCCTCCTGGCCGGCGACCGCTGGCGCGCTATTATCGCTGATCGCTGGTTGCACGCCGACGACATTTTGCGCCTTGAAGCCAGGGTTGCGGTCAAGGCAGGAGCTCGCGCCCTGCGCATAGGGACCGTGAAGAACTGTCGGGCCCTGCTGCTCGGTGATAATCTGGCCATCACGCTCTGTTTTGCTCGAGGGAGGCCGAGGGATTACAGGGTGCTTGTGCAACTAAGGCGACTCTTTAGTTTGGCCCTCGCTCGGAATGTCCGACGCTATTTCCGATGGATCCCCAGTGAGTTCAATTCTGGGGACGAGGGTGGCCGCATTTACGATGCCTTGTATGATGCTGAGAAGACCCTTGTTTCTCATCTGGGCACCGAGCTGCCACGCACGGAGCCTAAGCCGGATGTCAGTCTGGCCGATCCCTCCCCCGCCTCGGACCTCCTCCTTAGTCATTTGGGTGCTGGATCTTTTCCCCAGACCGACCCTGGTTTCTTTTTAGCCAGATTGATGCCGTGAGGGCGACGGATGGGCCAGCGCCGGTGGCTGCCGTCGGCCCCCGGCCGCCCTCCGGGCGGGCGTCCGCCCGCGTCGTCGGCCCTTGCGCGCAGTCGCTGCTGGATTCCTCCCTTGCTCGGCCGAGCTCGGAGGGGCAGGCGACCCGCGCGCGCGCCCCTACCCTGGAACGGGGTCTGACCAGCCGCCTGACGACGTGCAGCCGTTCTCTGGAGCAAGGCCGGCCCGGGCTTCGCGCGGGCCCCGCTCGAGCGCGGACGACGGAGGCTTTCTTGGTGCAGGTGGCGGACGAGATCCCAGACAGGTTGGCCGGGGCGCCAGGCCCGGCCGGCCGAGACGCCCCCGCGGACGTCGAGGGAGAGGACGGCGGCGAGAGCGACGACTCCTCGGACCCCGAGGAGAGGGCGGCGACGGCGGCTCGCCAGAGGGCCCCGGGGCGGCGCGGGAAGAACCACGTGTACCCGCGCCTCAGTGCCCTGATGGGCGCAGCCCTTTTGGGCGCGCGGCCGACGCCGCTGGAAGCTCGGTCCGTGACCGAGACAGCTGCTGCCCAGTGCCGCCAGCGCGTCCTCGCCTTCTTGAGCTGGGGCCCCTTCTCAGAGACGGTGGAGGACCCCGCGCGCCCGGGCGTCGCCCTGACCGACCTCACGAACCACGAGTTCGAGCAGGATCACAAGAATTGGAGGGCGGAGAGGCTCCTGGCGGGCATCATCTCTCACTCGCCGCGCTACCAGAAGAACGGCTACGACAAGCCGCGGCGCGCCCTGCGCACGCTGAAAGGGGTGGCGCAGGGGATTGCCATCTCGCTTGAGAAGGCCCTTGACCGTGGGCATGTGGGTGCCCATTGCGGTGGAGATCGCGATTCTGGGTTTCCTGATGTCCGCAGTACTGACCCTGACCATGGTGGAGAGGTACCTGCGCCCTGGAGAGATGCTGGCCCTGACGCCGGCCTTTTTGCCGGCCGCCCGCCCACGGCGGGGTGGCCACGGGGGTCTTCCCGCTCTTCCCACAGGAGTCCAGCCTGCTGTCCAAGACCGTCGAGAGCGACGACAGCATCCCCCTGGACTCGAGGCGAGTCGGCTGGATGGACGCGATCTTCCGGGCGCTCTCCAAGCGCCCCCAGGGCTCGGAGCGCCTCCTGCACTGGAACTACCGCGAGTCCGCGAGCGTCCTCAGGCGCGTTGCCGACAACCTGAACGGGGCAGTGGTGCAATATCGGGGGCTTTACACGGGGGCCAGCGCCGACCGCGCCGAGAGCCTCAGAACCCAGGAGCAGGTGATGAAGCGCGAGAAGTGACAGGCTGTTCGAGGTGTCAGGAGGTGCGGCGAGGCTGGGCGCGTCCACCAGGCGTGGCGGGAGCTGGTCTCCGAGGGCCAGGGCCACGTCTGTCTCTGCCTGAGGATGAGCGAAGGGATCTTCCCACGCGGGGACGCGGCGTGCCTCAGGCGCGGAGCGGAGCCCGTTTCCAGGCGCGCCAGGCGCTCTTAACGGCCCCGAGAAGGTATGTCCTCGATCTTTTCGGCGGCGGCGGCGGGCTTCGCCGGGCTGCCGCCCGCTGGGGCCTGCCCGTAGTCAGTTTGGACTTACGGAGCATCCCAGATCAAGATCTGACAGCCAAAATGAATATACGGTTGATTCTCAGACATCTTGCTGACGGCAGGGTGGTGGCCGTGATGATGGCACCGCCGTGCGCCACTTTCAAAGTCGCGCGCAACAGATACCCTGTGCGCGACGCCTTGCACGTGCGAGGCCTGCCCGATCTGTCCCCCCTCGATGCATATAAAGTGAAGGTTGGAAACGCTTGCCTAGATGCCGGCATACTTGTTTTGCGGGCGTGCCGAAAGTACGGTATTCCTTGTGCCCTCGAGGACCCGCAGACTTCTAGGCCGTGGTCTGATCCGTCGCTGAATCGAGCTATGCCGAACCTTGAGAGGGTGACCATCCATCAGTGCGCCTTCGGAACCAGACATCGTAAAGCAACCGATTTTCTTTTCCTGAACGTGTCCGATTTAGACCTCCTGAAGTCAGAATCCTGGAGATACCGCTGTAGCGGGAAGCACGGGCTTTGCAGTTTTAGGTTGAACCAGAAGCACCTTACCCTTGAGGGTAGCTCAATGACGAGCAAAGCTGCTGCCTACTTTTCCAGGCTTTGTAATTTTCTTGTCAACACCCTCCTTCAAGGTCATGTCCGACGCCACTCCGCCGGCCCAGGGTCCTGTCTTCGTGGGGTCCGAGCCCCAGTGATTTAACACAGGGGCCTGCCGCTGCGCTGTGAACTTCCGTTGTTGCGAAAGAATTTGGATATTTAAGCCAAGCCTTCCTAGCATATGCATCGGCCGGCTCTGCCATCAAACGTTCACCGCTGTAAAACGAGTAGCATGTTTCTGCGTGGCAGGGCTTGCTAAAAGTTTTACTTCTGTCGCCGTAATGTTGCTCAAGCTACCCGCCCGACCTCACCCGCCTGAGCGCTCCCTGTGGGAGTTGGATCCTCAAGCCAAGCCCCACAGGTTCCGAAAGCCGAAAGCACCCGCGTTCCATAGCTTGTGGCCGATTGTGAGCAACCGCCTGGGCGCGGGGTTCGGCCGTCGTTGCAGTGCGCCCTACTTATGATTACAATGGCGTCCCATGTGTCCTCCCATGGCCTCCTGTGACCTCTCGCCCCGCTGGCCTTTGGGCGCCTGGGTCGACCGTGGCTGTTGGCCCCCCCGTGGCAGACTGCGTTATCCGGTAGCCTTCTGTGGTTGTGCCTTCGCTGGCGCCTCGCCCACCGCGGCATTGCCCCTGTGGATTATGATGGTTTCGCGAGCGTTGTTACGATCATGTTTCGTTTTTGTCCAGCGCTCCGACCTTGAAGTTCTATATTATATACATATACATAGATATTAGAGCCAATGAAAATTAGCCCCGCGCCAGAATCGTACGTGCGAAACCAGATCAAATACCAGCTGCTGGCGAGCAACGCAAAATCATCGCCAGCAACCCATCCGGTTTTGCCAGGGGGGCCCAGCACCCCCCGCGACGGGCTGACATGTTTCTTGTTGGACGACTCGGCCGTGTGGGCACGCGCGTGCGCTCGAGCGCGTCCGTCCAAGCAGCGGGCCCCTCCCCCCGAGGCCCTGCCGCGCCACCCGCCGCGCCACCCGCGCGGGGACGGCCTGCGGGCGGGCCGGCTTGCGCGCGTCGGCACTCCTGTTCTCCCCCGCCAACCCCCCCCCGTCGCCCCCAGACCCCCTCGAGTCGTGACAAAATCGCGACGGGAGGTATTTGGCAATTCCCGGTCTCCGAAGGCCTTTGAAGGGGCTCCTGGGCCGTCAACGAACTTACCCATTATGAAGAAACGGTGCCCAGGAAAGGGCCCAGACCTCTGGGGGGGGGTCCGCGTCATGAGACAAATCACGACGTCGGGGGCTTGGGCCTTCGAGTGCGTATGACACGTCGATGTCATTCTCACTTAACAAAGACGCTTCATCCTCCTCAGACGCACGCGCTGTCCCCTAGGAGCGCGGAGCGCGCATTAGCACGCTGCTGACTGCCACCGCCTGCGGTCTTCATGGGCTTGCGTTCTGGCGCACGGGCCTTTTTATTCTATATAATTGTTATATGTTTCTCTGGGACTACCCACCCGGCGGACAGGGAATGATTCAGCGCAACGGGGAGGGATGAGCGGAAGAGGTAGGGTGTCACCTCGCCTTCCCCCCTTCCCCGTCCACCTTGGAGACCCGCCGCCAGAAGCTGGTTGGACACTGCTACCGCTCAGCACTTGTTTGGCAACAGGGAAATCGGTTTTCCACGCGCACCTCTGACAGAGGTCCAGCCCGCTCGCGCCCAGCTACTTGTCCCCCTGACCGTCCATCGGTCCGTCAGCCATCGCTCCATCCGCCCATATGCACCACCGAGCTTATTCGCTGGACAGTCTCCCCATCTCGGCCCCGCCCCCCTGCCGTGGGCCCTTCTGTCCTGGTCGTGTTCCCCGTCCTCGCCGCGGTCTTGGCCCTTTTCCGTCCTGCCGTGCTCACTGCCTTGTTCCTGCCCTGTCCTGATGATGTCTAGTGTCATGAATCGGAGGTTGGGGGGTGATATTGTAATGTCCTTGTGATTAACGAACGATGCCCCCCCGGGCCTGATGAAAAGACCCCGTGGGGCGCGAAACGTTGTTGTAATCACGCGCGCCAGGGTTCGGAGAGTTCGGGGAACCACTGTGCCGCGAATGTTGGCAAACGCATGAACAGTGAAGGGGCGGAGGGGGGGAAGGCGGAGGAGGAAGAGGAGGACGAGGAGGAGGAGGAGGACGAGGAGGAGGAGGAGGAGGAGGAGGAGGAGGATAGCGAGGATGACGAAGACCGAGCTGGTCCTCGCAGTCGCGGGAACTCCAGGGTTCTAGGCCCGCTTCCTTCAGTGCCCCTTTTCATCGCGGTGGCGGCACATCCGTTCGACCGCGTTAGCGGTGCCGACGGAGCTGCCTCTGCCGCCCTTGCCTTCCCCCCTTCCCCCCTCCCGCCCCGAGATCGATGGTGGGATCGATTGAGTAAGATATTGGTCCCTCCCTACCCCGTAACCCTTTTTCTCACTTTGCTTGGGCGGCGGTGGCCGTGGTTGTCCCGCCGTAGTGTCCACATGGTGTCCCGCCGTGTCCTATGGTACCCCGATGGTCTTTCAATAGTGTCTCGTGGTGTCCCAATGGTGCCCTGGTGGTGTCCCCGTGGTGCCCCGACGGTGTCCGATGGTGTCCCGTGGTGTCCCATGGTGTCCCGCGGTGTCCCGATGGTGTTCTTGTGGTGTCTTGGTGGGTTCCCGGTCGTGTCCTGGTGGTGTCCCGATGGTGTCCCGATGGTGTTCCAATTGGTGTCCCGATGGTGTCCCAGTGGTGTCACCATGGTGTCCCGCTGGTGTCTCGATGGTGTCCCAGATGTGCCCCAGCGGTGTCCCGATTGGTGTCCTCAGTTGGCCTCTCCCCGAGTGGTGGTCGTATAGGTGTGTCTTTTGCCGTCCTTTGCATTAGCTTGCCCCGGCCTTCGTCCTGCCATGCCTTCTCGTGTCCCGTCCTGTACTGTGCCAGGCGTCTGCGTCTGCACTCGGGCATGTCCCGCCCCTGATATGTCACCCAGGTCGCATTTCGGGAAGTTCTGTTGAGTCAAGGCCGACATAGTGAATGAGGTGATGAATGGCACGGCGCGGGTGGCAAGGGGGGTCAGGGCTGCGGGCGTGTCGTTTCCGCCTTGGGTTGCCTCGCGACATTGACGCGCGAATTTCGGGGGCTTTTAAGTGCAGGGTACAGATCCTCTCCCTCCTCCAGTCCTTGCTTCCCAGGCAGCAACTCTGATTATGTCGATCCTCATTATCCTCCCCTTCCCTCTCCCCGAAGCTGTGCGGGCGGCAGGGTAAAGAGCTGGTCCAGATGATCAAGATGGGGCAGAAGATGTCCCAGGGCTGGAAGGCCATGTGGGAGGCGCCTGCGAGGATGAGGAGGACTAGGAGGAGGGGCAGGAGGGGGAGAAAGAGGATGGGCAGCAGGCAGGAGAAGGAGGAACACGAGCCAGATCGTGCGAACGGGAAGGGGTGGCATCGCATCTCCGATGTGCGCTGGTGGCGCGCCTCGGCGAGGATCAGCCCTTCTGTACAACACTGTGCCGGCAGTGGGACGCTGCGGATGGCTGCCCTAGCGACCACCTGCCTTTGGGCATCCTTGCTCTCGGTTGATGCGAGGAGGAGGAGGAGGAGGAGGCAGAGGGGGGCGGAGGAGGAGGAGTAGGAGGAGGACGAGAAGGAGGAGGAGGAGGAGGAGGGGAGGAGGGGAGGAGGGGAGGAGGGGAGGAGGAGAGGCGGGGGGCGAAGTGGAGGCCTGCTGAACCTGGAAGGGCGGGGTGCGCAATCTGGCGCGGTGGGCGGTCGGCGGGTCCGCTTCCGGGATGCCGGCCGTGCAGTCTTGGCGGCGTGGTGCGAGGGGCTGGGCTGCGAAGTGCGCCGGGCGGTGCGCATGGATGCGACCATCGAGCCGCCGCTGGTGCCCGTGCTTGATCTGGTGGTGGACGTCACCTTGGCCAGCGTCGCCGTCGCAGGATGCGCTGGAGCGCGCGCTGGCGCGTCGCGCTGGGGTCGCGTCCGAAGCACCTGGCGCTGCAACAAGGTAAGGCAGCGTGGGGCGCGAACGGTCCCTTTGTTTGGTCGAGAGCCGCGCCGCTTGGGCGGAGGTGCCCCGGCCTCTTCGCGACCGGGCTGGCGCCGCGGCTGGTCCGTGGAGTGCCAGCGGGCCACGCCCCGAACGCACCAGTCGGTCGGTAGTGTGCTCCAGCGCCGCTCTGCGGACTCCACGCCTCGGGGCCACGCATGTACGGGCCGTGGCGTGGCCCTGCCCTCTTCGTGCTCCACGTCCGCCTCGTCCGCCTCCTGCCAGCCACTGGGGGTTTCTCGAAAGCCTTCCAGCAATCCCGCTTTGCTCCATAGGCTCCACAGCTGCCCTGTCCGCGAGTTGCACGCCATGGTTCGGGGGCAACGATAGGGGGGGATAGGCATAGGGGGAGATGCACCGACCCCCAATGCGGATTCACTATAGGAGGCCTATTGCCGATCTATCGGCGATGTCTCGCCGATTCCAGGTCGGTGCATCCCCCCCTATGCCAGTCCCCCCCTATCGTTGCCCCTCAATGGTGCTGCACCAGGGCTCCAGTCCCACAGAGGGGGTCAAGGCGCACATGGGCCACACCACTTCGAGCGTCCTCTCCGCCTCCTGCTGCCTGTGCGCGCCCAGCGCGCCGCCCTCCTCGTGCCGTCTGCTTCCTCTCCCCTGCTGTCGTGCCTGTCCTGGGTCTCCGTCATCGGTGTCGTCCCCTTGGGTCTTCTTCCTTCCCGGGTCTCCTTCCTGGGTTTCCTTCCTTCCTGGGTCTCCTTCCTTCCCGTCCCCTTCCTGGGTCCCGTCCCGTCCCCTTCTTGGGTCTCCTTCCTTCCTGGGTCATCGGCACCGTCCCGTCCCCTTCCTGCTCCATCGCGCTACATCCGCCGCCTCTCGTCTCTCGCTTCTCCGCGCCGCTCCCTTCCTCCCCGCCGCATCTTCCTCCGTCGGGCCCTGAGCCCTTGCCCCCTCATCTACGCTTCCTGGTGCCCTGTTACTGTGTTACTGCTGCTCTGCCCCCCCCCTTCATCCTCACCACCCTCTTGCTCATGCCGTTCTTCGCGGCATCTCCGCAGCGGGGGCTTGGTCCCGGTTGCGCGGCAGGGTCGGGCGGGGCCCAAAGATGGACAGGCGGAGGAGAGGGTCATTCGTGAACAATCAGATGGGAGTGCGATGTCATCTTAGACATGCATATTCCTATTCACATGTTTTTCTAAAAGGGCTGGGGGGCCCTGAAAAAGTGCGCACACACACATACACACCTGACCCGGAAAATGCGACCCCCTCCTCTCCCCGAACGAATTTGGCCCACCCCGGGCGTCGGGCAACCCTCCAGACGACACGGTCCAAGACGACCCAAAGAAGCCGACATACCCCCAAGGATCGTTCCAACACGTCCCAAGAGGCCTCCAAGAGCACTCCCAAGAAGGTCCCAAGAGGCAAATTTCATTGACTCTACAGGCTTACGCCACATCCGCCGACCCCTTAATTGAGTTCAAGTTTTTGATGGTGCTTTTCGGTATTTGGAGGGTTCACGTCGCGCAGTTGGCAGGCCTTTCAGTGCAGTGGCAAGTGCCAGAGGAAATTGCCGAAGTCGGATTTCTCCGTGGACGCGAGCCATGTCGGGCGTGACGAGAAGAAGGGCACCTTGAACTGCACGGCATGCAAATTTTACCAGTAGGGCGCCCGTGCCATGGCCCGTAGAAGTAGGAGCAGCGGGGGTGCGAGCGAGAGGGAGGACGAAGCCGATGAACAGAGAAACGAAAAGAAGGTGAAAGCGGAGGAGAAGAAGGAGGAGGAGCAGGGGGAAAATGGGGGAGAGGCGGAAGGGGAGTCAAAGAAGAGGAGGAGGAGGAGTCACGATTTGGTCCGAAGGCGTCACGGGGGCGTCTTGGAGGTAGTGTACGGGCCTCCTGGGGGTTGTCTGGGAGCCTGTTAGGGGCCTTTTGGGCCTCGCTTGGGGCTCCCTGGGACCCTCTTGGGAGGTTCTTGCAGCATGATGAGGGAATCTCGGAGCCAAAGGACCAACGAGTTGCCCTCCGGGCTCCCTCATGGAGCCGTCTGGAGGCCCTCGTGGGCCGTTTTGTTTGGGTGCTTGTTGGGCCGTCTTTGGGTCCTCTCGGACCTCTCTCGGCAGTTGACGAGGCCGTCCTGGGAGGATATGGAAGGTTTCATGGCCCGTGTCGGACGCTGCGGAACCGCAAGAGGTCAAGATGGTAAAAATTAGCGTTTTACGAAGGGAATGGGACGATGTCTGCTTCTTAGGGCTCGCTTGGGACTACTCTTGGGGGCCTGTTGGGTCGTCTTGGGGGCTTCGGAGGCTGTCTGGAAGCCATCGTGGGCGTCTTGGAAGTATAGTTCGGCGACTCGTCGCCCTCTTGGACGATCAGGAAGGTGTTTTGGTGCGCTCTTGGCTCGTTTTGGGGCCCTCTCTTCCCCCGTGGCGCGTTCGGCGGTGGGTCGTCCCGGGCGAGGGGGGGGAGGAATTGCCAGTTTGGCAAAATTCCTTGATTTGTTGATGGTTGTTTGGTAGATTGTGTGATTCTCGTCTTTCCGGCTTCCCGATGCTTCAAGACGGCGGTCTTTCGGGCGTCCGAAGCCGCATGGGAGGCTCGAAAAGTCTTCCCAATACCATCCGAAAGGGCTTCCAGGCAGCCCAAGAGAGCCCCAAGACGGCACAACAGGGTTCCAAGATGGCTTAAGAGAGCCCCTTTGACTGCCCAAGATGGCCCAAGACATCCTCCGAAACATTCCAAATCGTGACCCAGTCGTTCAGGGAGACCGCGGTTGGAGGCTGGCACGGTGGCCCGAGGCAGCCTCACAGGCCCCAGGGACGCCCAGGAGGCTTCCAGAAGGCTTCAAGAAAACTTGAAAAACTTGAGTGAGGCCCCCAGAGGCTCTCCATGGAGGAGCCTGTGCAAAAAGAGCTGAGGAGGATGGAAAGAATAGGCAGGGTATGGCGAGAATGAGGGACAATAAGCATGGGAGGAAGGACAAACTTTGGCACGATTCGAATGGCGATGCCGGAAAAAGGCAACAAGAAATTGTCGCTAATTTGTAGGCTTGGTTTTCCTGCCATTCCGCCTGCGTACCAAACTTCAAGGACCAAGGTGCATGGCGCGAAGCACGCCAACGGATTGGAGTTATTTCAATGTGTTTCGCCAGGCGCTGTGACATCGTAAGTATTTATCGGGCTCTGTTAGTGCAGATCCGGCTATGCTGTTGCGCCTTGGGGTTCAATCACACTTCTTGTGGTCGTGCTATAGTTTCGCCCATGGATTTTGTAGACGCCTCTCTGCGGAGCAGAAGGTTCGGGCTTTCCGTTGTCGCTTAAGGTTGCTGCCCACCGTTTGGGTGTCCATTGAAACTAGGTGACGCGGCGCCTTCGTCATGCATAGCATGTTTCCGAGTCCGTTCAGCACGCTTCGAGTTCATCGCATGGTTTGGCCAGTTTGCGCAGTACATGCGCTGCGTATCATTTCTTCGAAAGTCGGGCAACAGTACAGTTGTGGTCTTGGATGGTCCGCATTTGGCACAGCCTGTTAATTACCCCTGTGTCGTTGAATATGCAGCTTGGCAGCATGTGGGCTGTTTCGTCGTGGAGATGTCACCCCATTTGGCGTTGCCCGCATCACCAGCACAATTGTGTCCATACCTGTCCTCCCTGCCTCCCTCTTCTCCTGCTCCCTCCTCCTCATCATCTTCTCATCCCCTCTCAATTTCCTTCCCCTCAGATCCCCCACCGTCTCCTCGTCCCTCGTCCCTCACATCCTCGACCCCTCGAGCATTCGGCCAGCGGGCACAAGGCCTACTGCAACGGAACGCCCGTGGATGGCAGGGTCATGTACGACCCCGCGAAACACGACGCGGGCTTCCTGGAGGTTGGGCCGGGTTGGACTGGCCACGTGACTTGTAATGGGGGAGGCGGTCCTCCACTTCCCGCCTCCTCCTTCCCGCCCACTCTTGCTATGCGTGCTGGCTCGTGTATTGGTTCATCCCCGCCCTCTGCTGGCACACGGTGTGAAAAAAAAAACCAGCCTCGTGCGCTCGGTCGCCCTCCCCCATCTCGGGAGGGTAGAGTAAGTTGGAGGGCGAAAGAGGGGGTCTGCAACAGGGGGTCTTCAATGGGGGCTGAATGGCCCATGTATGCTCAATGTATCGCTCATGTATGTGATCGGGTACGATTGGCATCCAATGCTGGCGGTCATTGATGGCCAGTCATTCGTGCCCGCGCGTTGCCCGCGCGGGCACACGCGCCGTCCATCCATTATCGTTCATGCGTGCGGGTGTTCTTGCATATTGCGCGTGGGTCGGCGAAGTGGAGTGCAAGTGTGTCTTGATTGTGCGGTTGATGATCGCGTATGTTCCCAAACGATGACTTCTCGACCCCCAAGACAAATTTGGAATGGACCCCGCGATTCTCCCAAAATGTGAATTCACATTTTCCTTTCCCCCAAAATGTGAATTCACATTTTCCTTTTTCGTAAAATGTGAATTCACATTCTGGCCCCTTCATAAAGAATCCTACACAAACTTCCAAAATGTGAATTCACATTTTCCTTTTTCCCAAAATGTGAATTCACATTTTCCTTTTTTCCCAAAGTGTGAATTCACATTTTGCTTTTCCCCACAATGTGGATTCACATTTTGCCCTGGCGTTCAAGATCCCCAATACTGAGGCGCAGTGTTCCGCATGCCAGATTGGCTGGGCAGATTTCGACACTCACCTGACCGCTTTCGTGTGTTCCAGCCTGTTCTTGTTGCGCCCTTAGCGCACGTTGCCTTCGTCGCCTTTCCCGAGCCCCCCGCCCCCTTGCTTCCTTTCTCCTCAAGTCTCGCGCGCGGGCGCAGGCGGGGGGCTTCAATTAGTTCCCCCGCCGAACACAGCAATCGAGGATGTATCGCCCATTCACGACTTTAAAAAACATCATTGCCGGGACCCTGCGCCCGACCCCCACTTTCACCCTCCAAGTAAGGATCAAGGGGCGGGGTCGGACGTGCAACACTCAGCGGAATTTATAAATGGTCCCGGCGCCGACAGGCAATCGGTTTGCTAATCAGAAGGGGCGTCTTCTGAGCGCACTGGGTGGAAGTCAGGGGAGTGGGTGCGAACGCCCCTCCCCTCCAGTGTCCCGGAGGTGGGTTCGTACCCCCCCCTCCTCCTTGTAAGTTACAGTCAGGAGAGTTCCAAGCCTCCTCTGCTGGGCGGGCGCCGGCAAGCGACGACGACGACGTGTCTCGCCTGCCCGCCTTACCAACTCGCCCACGACGACGTGTCTCGTCCGGCGGACTGACCGACCCACCCACGACGACAACGATGAAGCCCCCCACGGCGCTGGCAAACGACGTCGACGACAAAGACGACGACGCCCACGACGACGACGACGATGACGATTACGACGTCGACGACGACGACGACGACGACGCACGGGCAAACGACGACGACGACGCTGATGACGACGACGACGACGACGTGTCCCGCCCGTCCGCCCGACCTACTTTCCGACTCGCCCACGACGACGACGACGACGACGACGACGACGACGACGGCGACGGCGACGGCGACGGCGACGGCGACGGCGACGGCGACGGCGACGGCGACGACGACAACGACAACGACGACGACGACGACTGCAATGGCAAGGCGAACGACGACGCGTCTGTTGGGGGTGATGGAACCATCCCCCCCCACCCCGCTGTCTTTCGGGAGGGGGAGGCAGGGGGGGGGGTTCTCGCTAGTGTAGGGCGGGGTTGCCAGGTTCTGGAGAGGAGGGTGGGTAGGAATTTGCTGGGGGTCTGGTCGGTTCCAGGGGCGGGCTCGGATTTTTCCACCAGTGCAGCGTGCGCAGAAGTCGCTCTCTCTTTTATCACGGTGCCAGGCGTTGGTGGCCGCACACTGACGGGTGGGGCGCACCTCATTCTGGAGGCTTGGAAGACTGCCTGGATGTTGTCGGAGAGCCCAGGGGAGCCTGGGCAGGAGGGATTCACACAGGATGGCGCGAGCATATGCCACAGACACCCACCACGGGGCACACGGGCTGCCGCGAGTGTAATTAGTGATCTTTCTTGTGGCAAGTTGTGAGTGGTCGTGACGAGTGCGCGGAAGTGCGGAAAAGGGGGCGCCGCGTGTTGCAATTGTTGTTCCGCTGCGAGGGGTTCTTCGACTTCATCGGGAAGATGGCGGCCGGCGGAGTGGGCGTGAACATGACGGGAGGATCGTGACCGAAGCCGAAGGGGGGGCAGAGGGGTCCAGAGGTTGGCGCAGGGCGGGAGCGGGGAGATGAGGGGTGTGGCTTGTCGACGTGTCCCCTCGCCCTAGGCTTGGGTTCTTACCCATGTGAGGCAGGAGTGCCACCTTTGGTGTGATGTTCTGGGTTGTTTACGGGCCGCACCAGTATGTCGGCCCATCGTTGTCGTTTTGCTATTCAAGTTCCCCCCGTGTTCCTCCTCCTGCTCCTCCTCCTGCTCCTCCTCCTCCTATTCCTCCTCCCCCCCCTGGAGCTACCGCTGTCCCTCTTCATCTGTCGCCTCCTCTTACCGGTGATGTTGTTGCTCCCCCCCCTCCTTCCTCTCCTCCTCATCCCCCTCCTCATAGTCGCCCCGAGCGCCGCTGCTCCTCCTGGTGCTCGCCCGGCGCGCCGGGGATCGGGACCGCCCGATTCGGCGCCCCCCGAAGCACGGGGCCGCAGGGCGGGCGACGATGTCCACCGGCGACCCGACCAAGGACGCCCCGCCGCCTGAATTCGCCATGCAAGAAAGGGTCAGGAGGGACCAAAACACACAGACACAATTTATCGTCGATTCCCCAGAAAATATGGGAACACATGGGAAGTGGGGGGGAAGACAGAAACCCAGAATATACGGGAAAGTATGGGGAGTCCTCTTCTTTGTGTCATTACCTAACAGCGAAGACTGATAGGTTTCTAGTGGGATCAAAAGAGAGCAGCAGATCACTCCACAGGGGGGTCCGGGCAGGTGTTGGGAGTTGCCGGGCGGCAGGTGCCGGGCTCGTTTTTCACCAACAGTCACACACTTCGTGCTCTTCGACTTCCCAGAACTCCATTCCCAGGCCACATTCTCAATACCCGGATGCAACAGTCACACACTTCGTGCTCTTCGAGTTCCCAGAACTCCATTCCCGGGCCACATTTTGGATGCCCGGAGCCAACTGTAGGCCACTTCGTGCTCTTCGAGTTCCCAGAACTCCATTCCCGGGCCACATTTTGAATGCCCGGAGCCAACTGTAGGCCACTTCGTGCTCTTCGAGTTCCCAGAACTCCATTCCCGGGCCACATTTTTGCCCGGAGCCAACTGTGCACTTCGTGGTCTTCGAGCCAGAACTCCATTCCCGGGCCACATTTTGAATGCCCGGAGCCAACTGTAGGCCACTTCGTGCTCTTCGAGTCCCAGAACTCCATTCCCGGGCCACATTTTGAATGCCCGTAGCCAACTGTAGGCAACTTCGTGCTCTTCGACTTCCCAGAACTCCCATTCCTGGGCCACATTTTCAGCACGGGCAAGAGCACGACGAGGAGGAGGACGAGCAAGACCAGGAGGACGAGGACGAGCAGGAGCAGGACGAGGAGCAGGAGGAGCAGGAGAAGAAGGACGAGCAGGAGGAGGAGGAGGACGAGCAGGAGGAGGAGGACGACCAGGAGGAGGAGGACGACCAGGAAGAGGAGGAGGAGGGGGGAGGAGTACCAGGAGGGAGGAGGAGGAGGAGGAGGAGGAGGAGGAGGAGAGGAGGAGGAGAGGAGGAGGACGAGGACGAGGAGGAGGAGGAGGGGGGGGGAGAGTACCAGGAGGAGGAGAACGAGGACCACCAGGAGGAGGAGGAGGAGGAGGAGGAGGAGGAGGAGGAGGAGAGAACACCAGGAGGAGGAGGACGAGCAAGACGAGGAGGACGAGAACGAGGACGACCAGGAAGAGGAGGAGGAGGAGGAGGAGGGGAGGGGGAGGACTACCAGGAGGAGGAGGAGGAGGAGGAGGAGGAAGAGGAGGAGGAGGACGAGGAGGAGGAGGAGGAGGAGGACGAGGAGGAGGAGGGGGGGGGAGAGCACCAGGAGGAGGAGAACGAGGACCACCAGGAGGAGGAGGAGGAGGAGGAGGAGGAGGAGGAGGAGGAGGAGAGAGCACCAGGAGGAGGAGGACGAGCAAGACGAGGAGGACGAGAACGAGGACGAGCAGGAGGAAGAGGAGGAGGAGGAGGAGGAGGAGGAGGAGCAGGAGAAAGAGGAGGAGGAGGAGGAGGCAGGCTGAGGCTGAGGCTGTGACTGCGACTGCCGTTGCCGCTGCGACTGTCATCGCGAATGCGACTACGACTGCGAGAACAGCAGAATTCGACAACTGGATTTTCATCTGAATCTTAAGGGGAATGCTTTCAGATATGCTTCTACACATCGCTGTTAGGTTGCTTTGCCGGGATAATTTTATTTGTGTGTCCCAGGGCCCCTTCAAAGGGGTCCTCAGGGAAGGCAGATCCACTCCCGGGAGAGCGCGAAGGCACGCGCGCTTCGGGCGTCGCGGCCGGAGGCGCCGAGCTGGCCTTCTCCAGGGGGCGGCGCGAGGGCGCGGGGAGGACCGCGCGTCGCGCATCGCGGGGCGCAGTGCGCGAACGAGGGTGACCCAGCTTGGCATCGCTCGAACGTGTGCATGTTCTCCTCGGCGAGGACCATCGAGGAGCATTTTGCTCACCCTGCGAAGAAAAAAAAGCACGCACGAAACCAGATGCACAGGGAATGGACGTCCGAGCGATGGCGAGCCAGGGGAGGCGGGTCCGAGATTTTGCCCCCGCGTTCGGGCTTCGGGGGCGCCGCCTCGGGCCCCGGGGGCTGTCCACAAAGCAGGCCTGGAAGTAAACGATGTTTTGGCGATTTCGTGGGTCGTTTTCGTTTCGGTTTCGTTTTGCGGCAAAGGCGAATCGAAGACAAAACGAGGGAAACCGAAAACTAAACGAAAACGAAGAACACCGTTTAGGTTCAGCCCTGCCCCAAAGCGACTGGGGAGGGGCTGCTTATCAAGAGAGGAAAAACCACCCGAACCGGACAATTGTCGTTTTCTGAACGGCCCTGGGCGTTCACGAAACAGTCCTGTTCGATTCCTTCTTTGGGCGCGTTTACTGAACGACTGTGTCGAGGTGATCGTTTTATGGGGGTGGATTTTCTGCCCTCCTATGCTTCGTCCTGGGAGAAGGCCCCCCAAAGTTCGAGGCCCGTTCCCTCAACGCCCGCCCGTTTCGTGGCAGCGCCTCGGCCGCCTCCGCTCGCTCCCACCCGCGCGAGGTCCCGCTGCCGCACGACAAGGCGGCATGAGCAAAAGCGTTCGGAGGGTTCCCTGGCAGAGCGCCTTCGGCGCTGTCCCCTGCACGCTTCGCACGCCAGGGGAAGGGGGCCCATCGCCGACCCAAGAAAGTCACGCGGACATCCGACCAAAGGGTTTTGCTCATGTGGTGCGTTTGTTCCTCGATTCCCTCCGGTGAACCTGTCGCCCTCCCCACGTCTATTCTTCCCTCCTCTCTCTATCACCTCTGTCGCTGTCCCCTGTCCCCCCCCCATCCGCAGCCCCCTGCACCCTGTCACCCGTCTCCTATCCCCTGCCGTCCGGCTTCCTGGAGGACCACGCGGAAAACGCCTGAAGCATCTTAGAGCGCCAGGGAATTCTTGCCAGTCGGTAGTCGGCAGTCTGGGCCCCTATAGGATCCCACAATCCCTCCAGCATTTACAGTATCATTTACATGTGTATGAGACTTGGGGCGCTCCACGACGTGCTGAAGGCACGGTGGTGGTCACGCGATGAGGGAAGGCGGCGGAGAGGATGATAAACCCCGCTACATGGCGCGCGTTTCGTGTTCGATGTTTGTTTTCCTCGAAGCCTTCGCTCCAACACCCGCCCGTGGCAGCGACGATTCTGAAAACAGCATACGTAAACCTAAAAGTTTGGAGCTCCGCGCGGAGTGCCTGGATCCAAGAAGTCCGCGCGGAGCTCTGGAAGTTCATGGTTGTTATGTTTTTGCTCATTTTGATTCAGCCGCCTTGGACCGCCGACTCGACTCTCGCCGGCGCGCGAGCGTGCCCTGCTCCGCTGGCCGTGGAGGATGCCCTGATCGCCAAGATCAAGGCCTTTCAGCGACAGGGCGATTCCGAGAAGCAGATCTGGTCCTGTCCTGCCCCCCTTTCGCGCTGTGAGGAAGAGGCCTTGTACTTCAAAGAGGGGGGACGACGAGGACGATATCATGAAGGTAATGTCGTGTACATAGTCGGGTTGCTATGCGGCACAGGTCTCACGGCCGGTTCCGCCAACCTTGCAGCAAGAACGCCAGAGAATGGAGGGAGTGGGAGAAGAGGAAGAGGAGGAGTTGCATGACGAGGACAAAGAGGGGTTGGAGGAAGAGGAGGTGCATGAGGAGCACGAAGAGGGGTTGGAACAATTGGCAAAGCTCGATCGAAGCGGGGGAGGAAAACGAGAATGACCGGGAGGCGGGGCAAGCGGTGCAAGGAGGGAGCGCAGGGGCGGATGGGGAGGGGAATATCCACGCTAAGGGACACACAAACACACTCACACACGCATATTGTTACATACTTATACATATAACGGGGGACCGGGTCCGGGGGCCCGGGGCCGGCGCCCCGACCACAAATGTGGGTTCCGGGGGCCCCGGAGGCTCGTCGGGGCTTGCCGGAGGCCTCCCCCGTCAGACAACTGCGCGCGGCGGGGGTACTTATAAGTACTTATGCTAGTTATAAGTAACTTATGAACTTACGGCCTACTTATAAGTAACTTATAAGTAACTTATAAGTAGCCCGTAAGTAGCCCGTAACTAGCCCGTAAGTAGCCCGTAAGTAGTCCGTAAGTAGCCGCGTAAGTAGCCCGTAAGTAGCCCGTAAGTAGCCAGTGGGTTCTAAATTTCAATGGTTTTGGTTCCAAACTGTTTGCGATTTTGCTAACATGTTTTCTGTGAGTTCCATGTTCGGAGGTCGATTTTTTCAGCATGCAATCTGGATTCGTATATTTCCATGTTCGGAACAAGATTTTCGCAGGTTGTAATTACATTCGTGCGCATGATGTTAACCTGATTAAATTTCTGTTTCTGTTGTTCGCGCCTATAATTTCAATGCTAACTTAAACGAAATTCTTGACACTTCGCGTATCCCCACCAGCCCATCCATAGTGAAACAGCGCGGGCACTACTGTTGAATTGGGGAGATCTCTGGTAGCGAAGGGTG